TTTAATAGTTAAACAAGCAGACGTGTTTTTAAAAGTGTTCTGGCAAACCTGTTTCTGTACTTCAATGTTATTTTCCACTTCTCATTAGTTGAGTTGTAGAAGAGCGCCCTCATATGTCTTCATCTGTCCTACTTACTGCTGCTCTGAGCTTTAATGCTGATAGTGATGCTGTGCTGTTTTCCTCTTTCTCTAGATGATGTTTTGTCGAGGGACTCTGGCGAGTGCTCCATATGTCTGGATGATATGCTTGAGGGAGACACCATTGCTCGTCTGCCCTGTCTCTGTGTTTACCACAAAGGGTTTGAGCAACTTTCACTATAATTATAAAATTTAATAACTTTTAGTAACACACTTGTATACACACATATATCTGCTGTGTTCTGTGGACATCAGCTTATCTTCTGCTCATCCAGGTGTCTGAGGTCAACAGGTCTTGTCCAGAACCAGATTAACATTCACACTTATAACATTTTGCACAAATATAATTCACAATAGATTTTCATATTAAATACAATGCTCTGTTCTAAAAATATGTGAGGTGTTACATTAGCCATATACAATTTACTAAGGAACAAATTACCTAATTAAGTTTCAGGTTTTACCAGGTGTCATGTTCATTTCATATTCTACTTAAAACGGTATATTTGTTTTTCACCTGCACATATTTCCAATAACAAAAAGCCTCCAATAAAACTTTATACAAATGTCCTTCTGAGAGCAAGACAGAGTATTTATAAACCTAAAACCTGCTGTGTCAAATTTAAAATAAAGAATGGATATAATTAGCAGTTTTGTTATCAGACCTGAATGCTGTAATAAGAGTAATCCAGCTGCCATCTTTATCCATCAAGAGACAAACAGGAACAGCAAAATGGAAAACATTTTCTGTTAAAAATATGTACTGTATATAATTTTGTTGTTGTTTTTTTTAACCATAGGGGTAGTTTTGGTTTTGCAGAAAAGACAGAAAATGTACATACAGTAGAAAAGTATAAATCACAGAGTGTCAGCAAATTAAGCAAGAGCCTTAATTTTATAGGTTGAGGTTGAATTACCATGAGATGTGCTGGTAGCTTTGATTATTTGTGTGTTATTTTTATACCTATTGTATAAGTGCAGAGAAAAACTTTTTTTTTTTTTTTTCACATAAATATACATATTTTATGAATAAAAATATAATAATACTAATAATCATAATTATCTTGAGCTGAAGTTTTTTATTTTTTTACTAATTTATGTTAGTAATAATTAGTGAGTTTTTTTGTGTGTTTTGTTGTCTTAAAGAATGAGTTTATTTTTAATTGGTTTGAAATGCAGTTTTCTGTAAGTAAATAATTATAATTGTCACACTTTATTTTTAAGTACAATTCATGCTCCTAACAAACCTTTACCTAAGACTACTAACTCAGTCCAATAAATAGCTGCTTATTAATAGTAAGGTAGTGGATGGGTTTAGGTATTGGGTATTAGAAAAGTAAAATATGATACTTTAAGTGCTAATAAACAGTTATTATCCTAATGATTGGCAGGTAATAAGCCTGCAGTAAACTAAAGTGTTGCCTAATTATCTTTGATTGATAACATATTTTGTTATTGAATGTATTTGTTTAGATGTAAAGCTGTCGGTTATACTGTAACATTCTTCTTTTAAGATAAAAAGAGAAAAAAGTCAACATTGTATTACTGGAATTATGCATATGTTTGTACCAGACAGAAATTAAATTAAAACAGAGAAATAAATATATTCTGTACTTAGAAAGTACAGAATAAACTGTTAGGGTGTTTCCTACCATCATCTTAAACTCAAGTTACCAAATCATTGTAATGATGATTAGCTTTCAGTACTACTCATGGAAAAACTAGCAACTCTTATGAAATGTAAAGGTTTCAGTATTTATAATGTCATGTTGTTATTAACGTTTTTCTTGATGTTTTAAGTCAGAATCCAAAAATCTCACAAAATTAGTTTTCATGAGATTAAAAATTGTATGATTATTCATAAACAGGTGAGATACTCGTTTCTCTCTTCCTCATAATCAAACTGGATTTTTCACTTCAGACAGGATCAGCAGGTTTTCTCCCTGAAGTGAAAGCATTTGTGATTTACCTTGTAGAGTTACAGGGTTTTACGGGACTTGCTGTTCTTTTAAAAAAGTGTTAATAATACTATTTTAGTTGAATCTATCTGCAGGACTTTGTGTTGTGGAAACATAAACATATCAGGATCCTGTGGTAAAATACAGTAACATCTTGATCAAGGTGAAAGAGCGTCAGTCAGGTGAGCTGAAGTCAAGAAACTTCCTGATTTAAACATCAAGTTAATATTATTATCATATCTAATTTTTACATGGTGTACTAGAGGTCTAGGTTTTACATAAGCTGACCTTAAAAATCTTTTTAGATTTGTGTAATAATTAGCAAAGATTTAGAAATATCATAAGTTATCAGAGCTGTTTTTTAATGATGCTGGCTTTAATCCAACATTTTACTAGGATAGTGTAACGAATAAAATGATGTCTTATTAATTAAGTAGAGTAGACAAAAAAAATTTTCTTTAAAATAAAGTCTGCGTGATCTGGATGTTTCTACTGAATTCATTATTTTCAACTGAAGCTATACTGAATATACAGAGGTTTATTTTAGTGCTCTTTCACACATGCGTGTAAATCTCATTAAACTCTAATCTATTTATTTAGGTAAAAAATAAAAATGTTTTCTAACTATCCACTAGCCAGGCTTAAATCTCAGTTGTGCAGGTTAAACTTGTCATTAAGCACTGTTTGTTTCCTTGTTTGTGTGTGTGTTCATGTGTGTGCATGTGTGTGTGTGCGCACACCTTGCAGTAGGTTGTGGGGACCAAATGTCCTCTCAAATATAGCATAAAAGTACATTTTGACCTTGAGGATATTTTTGGTCCTCATGAGGAAAGCAGCTGATAAATCAGATAGAATGAAAGATTTTGGAAATGTGAAAGTGCAGATTGTTTCCTGTAGGTGTTGGATTTAGGGGTAGAAAATATACAGTCTTTACAGTAGAAACATCATTACATCTATGGGAAGACTCCATATAATATAAGTAGCTCTGTGTGTGCGTGTGTATTGTGTTTATTGTCAAAACTGTTAGTGTACAACGACATAATGTGTCAACATAATAACAGTTATTACGGTTTAATAATACTAGTTATTTATGATGTCTTTGGCATTTTTTGTAAGGAAATAAATAAAAAATCTAGATAAAATATTTATGTTGTGAAATGGTCATGTAGAATTATTTTAGAGTTACCTTGTATTTTCCTTCTCTTGGGGTAAAAAAAAATAAATAATAGAGACACTGCTTATGAAAAAATAACACGTTTGTACCAGACATTTTAGATTGACATAGAAAAAGAATGCACCAAACTCCCAAAGTATTTTACACAAATGTAAAATAAAAAATAAAAAGTGTGAAAGTTAAAATTAAATAAAAAAATAATAATATTTAAATTGTATTATTATTAATATTCATGCCTAAATAATATTGAAGGAATTGAGTACACCGGCTTTGCCACACTAATAACCACTACTCTCATTTTTGTCTTTTTTAAATACAAATATACCAATATAGTGTAACCTGATATTCTGAAGAGAAGAGAGATCAAGCGGGCAACAACCAAAGTGTGTATCTGTGCAAATACAACATGGATTATAGATGATAATAAAATGCAAAACTAGTTGCAAAGGTTATTAGAAAAAAAAAAAAAAAATATATATATATATATATATATATATATATATATATATATATATATATATTTATTTATTGAATTGTAGTTATTTAAAACTTGTTTATCCTATAATGTATTCACAATAATTAAAAACACTTAAACTTAAATGTCATCTTGACATCTTGATTACAAATGATTCTGAATCAAAATGTCCATACAGTCTACTCTCTCTCTCTCTCTCTCTCTCTCTCTCTCTCTCTCTCTCTCTCTCTCTCTCTCTCTCTCTCTCTCATAAACACGCTGTTTATGAACTGAACAGGGCAGACTGCATTTTTCAAACAGGATTGATGACTTTTAGCACAAGAAGTAAACGGGTTTTGCATTTTAGTTGTGCGTCATTTGCACCAGAACATTTGGTGCATTAACTCTGAAAAAAAGCATAAAACACTTATAATAGCATTATATTAGTAAATATATTCGTCATAGAAACTCTTGATTTGAGAAAAACTGAACATGTTGGATATCGTAGTAAACTAACTTCTTGATTAAGGCGAGTGTCAGTCAGGTGAGCTGCTTTCAGGACATTTCCTCATTCACTGAACTAACCTTCAAAAGCTTTATGTTTAAAACTTTAACTTGAAAACTTTAGACTTTTAATAATCTTATTATATTTTCTATTTCTGTGAGGATGCACACTACATAGACTACTTACAATTGCTTGTGTATCCTGCTTGCTTGATAACTAAATTTATAATAAAATAATAAGGAAATGTATAAAATAATGTGAAGCTGAGCCTGTCCAGTACAGAGGGCTGTAAGCAGTGTTTGAGCTGAATAAAGAATATCAGCATTTCTCCAACACCAGTAAGGATTCATTAAATCCAGTAGAGTGGTTAAAAAGGGGTGTATTTTCATTAGTTGGCCTTTAAAACTTTGGGACAGTCAAGACACCCTGTCACATTTAAATGTCTTGGCCATTACAAGGTGTTAAAATGGAAAAAGGAGTTTAGCTCCTTTCTAACCAACTTTACTAAACCTTACTGAGCCCTATTAGTGTTTATTTAAAACAAAACCATATCATTATTATTTGACTCTCTTTGTTTGCAATCTATTTGTTTGAATAATTATTTATGTTTATTTTTATTCTTATGTATTGTTGTATTGTTTGGGTTTTTACCAAAATCAACAGCTCCTTTAGAAATTTTGTTCACAGGGAAAAAACATGACATGTTCAATACTTACTTACCCCCACTGTATATAAATAGATTTTGGTTTAAAAAAATGTTTAGACTGAATGCAAAATAATTTTATTTGTGTATTTGTTTTATTCGTTAATTGAGTCTTCTGTTTTTATGTAAATCGAGACACGTTAACTAAATTAAACAGTAAAAAGTTTCTTGTATTTCAGTGTGCCTAATGTGCAGCTCCATAAAGATTGAATAAATCATGGTAGACAAAGAAGCAAGCAATGATGGAGACTTTTCATCCAGACGCAGGTACTTGGCGCTCTTAATTGTTTTAATGTTTTAGAAATAAATTGCATTTCACACATTATATCAGTGTTTACCAGGGTTAGGGAATTCAGATGCTGTGATGTTGGGACTATAGAGGGTACTATATGAGGGTATAAAACAGGATCTTTGAACACAGCTCCAAAAACCAGATGTATATCAGAAATATCTGTACAGATGGGTGACAGTGCTTGTGCAGTGGCACCACTTTAACATTTATGAATATTTATGCAAAATGTACCTAAATGAATTGTTGTCTATGTTATATTAAAGTCATTTTCAGAGTCAGAAATCAAACACATCAGAGTCCAACCCTGAGATTACGCCAGAAGACTTGTCGGCAAAGAAACTTATCAAAATGTTTGAAAAACGCACACCAGATAATCAGAGGTTCGAATTTTTGTTTAAAGTATAAATAAAATTATATTCTCTGTTCAAGATTCATGTAGATTTACTATTTAAATGATTGTGTCTGTTCTGTTATGTCTGTCCTGTAAAGCAAATTCAACAATCAGAAATCAAACACAGCAAAGTCCATAAGAAGTGACCGATCGATACAAAACCCAGTCAAAATTAAGGAGATACGCACACCAGCTGATCTGAGGTACAACATTGTTGTCTTGAAGATAAATTTACAAAACAAATCTATCCTTTATTTTTTCCAGGAAAGTTTCATTGAGATTAACCTATATCTAAATTGTTCTGGTCAAAACAAGATTATTATTTTTTCTTTTGTCACATTAAGAAATCTTGGTAATTTTTTCTACCAAGCAATTAATATGAGCATCAATGTTAACTTCTTATCAAAGTCATTTACCTAAACATTTGTAAGTGATTGCTTTATAATGTGTGATGCATCAATTGTATGAGTGGACTTAGAACAACTGTGTAAAATAATATATTTAGTTTGTTTGCGTTTGAATTTAATTTCAGTTCTAATAAAGAAAACTGTAAAGTATAAAAAGACTCCTAAAGGATTGTAATACCTTGATATTATGTGGATGATAAATAATTGTATTGTAAGTGTAAAAATTTAACTTTGTACATTCTTTTCCCTTAGTTAAATCTCTAATAAAAATGTAAAAAAAGAAAGAAAGAAAAGAAACAGAGCCAGTTAAGATCCTTATCAGACCTGCTTAGAAACATAGAAAGATATTCTTTATATGATTTTTACGTAGATGTAAATAAACAATAAATATGGTGTCTGATCTGTTATCTTTGTCCTGTAATGCCAATTCAGCAGTCAGAGATCAAACCCACCAGAGTCCAGCTCTGTGTCTATGAAGAGTGACCAGTCAACGCTAGAGCCTGAAAAAGTTGATGGAGGACACACATCGACTGGTATAAGGTACATTTTTACTTTGTCAAACAAACAAAAAAAAAATTTAAATAACAATCATACAAGAAATGCATCAAACAAAATACTATTGCATGTGACATTCCACTAAGCAGTTTTAAGCATTACAAGAACTTTTCAGGCTTTGACAAGTTCATTCTAAACCCTGAGTAAACTGACTCCTGGGTTATGTTGATTTACATGTAACACATTGCCCAGGGTTGAAATTATTTAGAATGACAAAGGCCTAGGGTTAAGCTCAGATTGAAAAGACATTGTTTTCATATTTCTGTATGTTGGTGTGGATTTTAGCATACACATTGATCAAGCCTCTTTGTCCTGACACTTCTTTAACATCTGACCCCTTTCACACTAGTAATCCCAACCAGAACAATGCTTTTAAACGTATTAATAAGTCAGTTATATCATAAACTAAACAATTACATCTATAGTTGAGAAACACCACAGCAGATCTTAATCTATTATAGTGTTTCTCAGTTATATATGCTTTATAATGTGTGATGCATCAATTGTATGAGTGGACTTAGAACAACTGTGTAAAATAACATATTTAGTTTGTTTGCGTTTAAATTTAATTTCAGTTCTAATAAAGAAAACTGTAAAGTATAAAAAGACTCCTAAAGGATTGTAATACCTTGATATTATGTGGATGATAAATAATTGTATTGTAAGTGTAAAAATTTAACTTTGTACATTCTTTTCCCTTAGTTAAATCTCTAATAAAAATGTAAAAAAAAAGAAAGAAAGAAAAGAAACATCGCCAGTAAAGATCCTTATCAGACCTGCTTAGAAACATAGAAAGATATTCTTTATGTGATTTTTACGTAGATGTAAATAAACAATAAATATGGTGTCTGATCTGTTATCTTTGTCCTGTAATGCCAATTCAGCAGTCAGAGATCAAACCCACCAGAGTCCAGCTCTGTGTCTATAAAGAGTGACCAGTCAACTCTAGAGCCTATATATATAGATATAATCAAAAACCAAAGAATATAACTTTTCAGTTTTATGTAGATTATTGTTCATTTGAAATTAGATTATATAAATGTATATTCAATAAACAATAAATATGGTGTCTGATCTGTTATCTTTGTCCTGTAATGCCAATTCAGCAGTCAGAGATCAAACCCACCAAAACCAATGCCCAGGTCTATAAAGAGTGACCAGTCAACGCCAGAGCTTGACAAAGTTGATGGAGGACACACATCGACTGCTCTAAGGTACATTTGTTGAACATTTGTTGAACACATTTGAACACATTTGTTGAACATTTGTTGAACACGTTTTGCGAAAGCAAAGAAACAGGCTTATTTTATACCGGAAATACGTCAGCAGAGTTTGTGCATAGAGTCTATTGTAAGTGTAAAAATTAAACTTTGTACAATTTTTTTCTCTTAGCTAAATCTCTAATAAAAATGTAAAAAAGAAAGAAAAGAAACAGAGCCAGTAAAGATCCTTATCAAACTTTCTTAGAAACATAGAAAGATATTCTTTATGTGATTTTTACGTAGATGTAAATAAACAATAAATATGGTGTCTGATCTGTTATCTTTGTCCTGTAATGCCAATTCAGCAGTCAGAGATCAAACCCACCAGATCCAAAGCCCAGGTCTATAAAGAGTGACCAGTCAACGCCAGAGCCTGACAAAGTTGATGGAGGACACACATCGACTGGTCTAAGGTACATTTTACTTTGTCAAACAAACAAGAATAAAATTTAATAACAATCATACAAGAAATGCATCAAACAAAATACTATTGCATGTGACATTCCACTAAGCAGTTTTAAGCATTACAAGAACTTTTCAGGCTTTGACAAGTTCATTCTAAACCCTGAGTAAACTGACTCCTGGGTTATGTTGATTTACATTTAACACATTGCCCAGGGTTAAAATTGTTTAGAATGACAAAGACCTAGGGTTAAGCTCAGATTGAAAAGACATTGTTTTCATATTTTTGTATGTTGGTGTTAGGGATGCTCAAAATAATCTATTAATCGAAAGGGTGTGTTTGTGACCGATTAATGCTATCAGTTAAACGGTTAAAAGTATTATTTTATATATTTTTAGTTTGGCTGCATAAGGGGCCGATTGAATGCGCATTTGCATTAAGAGGGGCATCTTTTGCACGCGGCTCATCCCAGAGCAGCAGTTTGTGTTGTCAAGACAACTACAGAGAACTTTTAAAGAGCTTGGTTTCTGCTACATTCATTGTTCCATGGCGGGGACCAATATGCATCCCTCCACGGCTACATTTCCCATTCAAAACATTCAGTCATTGTTGTTGTTTTTAATAGTGGATTATAACCACACCAAAACGTATTAAAAGGTAAGTGGATTATAAGAGCGCAAACATTTCTGTAACCGTATAGTGCTGTCCGCTATCTGTTTAACCCTTTGGGGTTACTTGCTGACTGACTGGCTGGCTGACTGACTGACTGACAGGTGCGCGATGCGTGAGGCCAGCAAACACGATGAAGCTTTCGGTTAAGATGAACACAGTTTCTATAGTTATACTTTATTTATAGATAAAGTATGGCTCTGTATATAATCACTCTATCTTGCTGGAGTTTATAGCCGTCTCGCTGTACTTCAGGACGCATTAACGCCGCTCTGAAGGTCTAATCGCTGTTTTAAGTTATCCAGAGCTGTATGAATGTACAAATCTTGAATATCACAATATTAATAAATATTACAATTGTAACAACACAGACAGCAACACTTTTGCACAATCGATACCCAGCTGATTCAGTCGTTTCATAAGAGGACCGCGCTTCTTTCCTTCCTTTTTCCTTGTCAACATAAAGGCAGTGAGGTGCGCCTTGTTTTCGGCCCCTTCTTCAACTGCAAGACATATTTAACTTGCGGGAAGATAACGTATAACCCGTGGCTACAGACACATTTGCCAAAGAAACAAAATGGAAGAAGAATATTGCTGTTTGATACAGACGTGTTGATACCAAACCAGCGCTGATGTTGACCTGGATCTGCGTAATAAACGCAACAAATAGGCTTTACCTTTTATTTTACAGCTTATAAAGCATGTATGCACATTAATGCAATATCATATTTAAACAACAAAACTGTTTACAAAAAGTCAACATATGCGCGCCTTGTTGTTGTCTTTTCATCACGCAGCGCGCACACTTGAACCGTGTGAGAGAGAGGAAACCATAGCAAGACATAATCTTTAAAATAATGACTTCTATTAAAAATGTAAAAAGGTTTTGTGATTATAATAATAACAGCGGGGCATTACATAAATGCATATTTTCCGTGGAGCGAGCGATTTGAGGAAGTCTGCTATTTTTATTTGACGGAAGAAAAAAACATATGATTGGAAAAAAAACAGCCAGTTATTAAAAAGAAACAGTCAGTGTTTTCGTTTTGTAATATAAATTAATTATTTAAGTGATAATAATTTAGGGCAGTCCTATTTATTTTATTTAGTTTATTCTGCTTTTCTGTGTTGAACACTGCTGGTGCGTGAAAATGCTCTGTTGTTCTGTTCCGTTATTAATATGCTAGCATATAAAAATAAATCAGTATTTTAAAATGCAATATTTAATGTGTCAGACACAAAATAGACACGTCAATTTGTTTAATAAAAAATTAATAGTAATCTGACCAGCTAACCGTTAATAACCGATTAATGAGGGGCAGTTGTCGGTTAACAAAATTAACCTAAATGAGCATCCCTAGTTGGTGTGGATTTTAGCATACACATTGATCAAGCTTCTTTGTCCTGACATTTCTTTAACGTCTGATCCCTTTTACACTAGTAATCCATCAATTGTATGAGTGGACTTAGAACAACTGTGTAAAATAACATATTTAGTTTGTTTGCGTTTAAATTTAATTTCAGTTCTAATAAAGAAAACTGTAAAGTATAAAAAGACTCCTAAAGGATTGTAATACCTTTGATATTATGTGGATGAATAAATAATTGTATTGTAAGTGTAAAAATTTAACTTTGTACATTCTTTTCCCTTAGTTAAATCTCTAATAAAAATGTAAAAAAAAAGAAAGAAAGAAAAGAAACATCGCCAGTAAAGATCCTTATCAGACCTGCTTAGAAACATAGAAAGATATTCTTTATGTGATTTTTACGTAGATGTAAATAAACAATAAATATGGTGTCTGATCTGTTATCTTTGTCCTGTAATGCCAATTCAGCAGTCAGAGATCAAACCCACCAGAGTCCAGCTCTGTGTCTATGAAGAGTGACCAGTCAACGCTAGAGCCTGACAAAGTTGATGGAGGACACACATCGACTGGTCTAAGGTACATTTTACTTTGTCAAACAAACAAGAAAAAAATTAAATAACAATCATACAAGAAATGCATCAAACAAAATACTATTGCATGTGACATTCCACTAAGCAGTTTTAAGCATTACAAGAACTTTTCAGGCTTTGACAAGTTCATTCTAAACCCTGAGTAAACTGACTCCTGGGTTATGTTGATTTACATTTAACACATTGCCCAGGGTTGAAATTATTTAGAATGGCAAAGACCTAGGTTTAAAGGGCCATGAAACCCCCCGTTTCAGCAGGATGTTTTCACACCTCTAGTTTGGAAAAAGTCAGGAAAGTGGGTGTGTCTAGCTTTGTTTGGGTGGGAGTATCGGGGGAGGAAAAATGGGCAGGGTTTAAATAAAAATGGGAGTTGCCATTTGGGCACGCGCTTCTGACCGAGTACAAACAAAGACACACACGCAGGGGAGACAGTGTGTTTAATGACGATGGAATGTTTAATATCGCACGTCGTATTAGAGAAAAAAAAGCCTCTGCATTTCTCTGTAACTCAGATGCACTCAGGAGGTCAGAAAGCCGTGTGTGTGTGTAGACTATCCTGTCACAAACTGCGCTGAAAATTCAACACGACTGTCGGCAAAAGTATGCTTAGTGTTCACGTGTTTACACACAGAGAGCAGCATTTACAGCGGATCTTTCAATATTGTAGTGATATTAACGTACTGCAAACTAAGTAACTTAGAAATCATTTTGACTAAGGTCTGTCTTTAAACACTGAAAGAGTACTGCTGACTATACCAACTATAACTTTGCCATCTGAATTAACAAAGAAAGGGCGCTGATCTTATACACTTACCGAATCTGTAGACAGGATAATCACCACATACTGGAGCTGCGTCTTTTTTAAAGGGCCATGAAACCCCCTCGTTTCAGCAGGGTGTTTTCACACCTCTACTTTGGAAAAAGTCAGAAAAGTGGGCGTGTCCAGCTCTGTTTAGGGGGGAGTGTCGGAGGAAGAAAAGTGGGATGGTGTGGGAGTGTCTATTTGGGCACGCGCGAGTTTCAGTCAAAATACACACACATGAGAAAATGATGGTGTTTAACCTACATGGACATCTGTAGTCGAATTATTTGCCAAATTATTAAATGGTGGACTTTAACTGCAGTTTGGCTCTTTCATTCAGGGAATTCATTCATGCCCCTCCCGACAAACGAGATATTTGATTTGATATTTGAAACTTAGATGCACACGGCAGGTAGCGTCAGAAAGCCGCGTGTGTTATTCCGGTCACAAAATGCGGTGCTATGTTTGCACTCAGTGCAATAGTTAACTTAATTCGATACGAACAAACTGAATAAACAAAGAGCACTGGTCGCTCACTTACCAAATCTGTAGAGACAGGACAATCACTAGCAACTAGAGCCACGTCATTATGAAGAGGAGACTACAAGCGAATCCGGATCTCAGCGTTTGCAGATGAGAACAGCTCTCAGGTAAACAATGTTCCTCCTTAGACACGTAAGTTATTGTTGTCGAGCGTCGCGTACACTGTTAATCCACACGTCATCCAGATGAGCTCTCACAGAGAGAAAATGAAAACGAAACTTAATGGCAGCAAACTATAAAAGCAACACTTCACGCTTCACTGTAAAAAATTTCCAGGTTTTCACAACAAGTTACTGTAATTTTTCACAGTAAATTACATTAGTATCTCTTCACAGTATTTAACTGAAAAATTCACAGTAATATGTTGTATTCATAATTTTATTGTGAAATTACGGCAGGTAGCATGATTACAGCAAATTACTGTGAAAAGGGCTATATCTTTTGCACGTTAGTTATAGAAATTCAAACCTTTTTTTAACTCAACGTAGAAATTAATACAAATTAACTTTTAACAGATAATAACAGAATGTTATAGCCCCCAAAACGATTTGGTTACCAACATCTTTTTGGTTGTACTGCACCTTTATTTAATTTTGTACAGTTAACATAGAATATGAAATAATATTTAATGAACAACTGTGTGCTTAGCCAAAACATAATAAACTTGAATAAAAAGTAATTAATTAATGAAACCAAAGACTGTTAAACAGCCAACAATTATTTCAATGTCAGGGTAAATGTCTGCTTTAGACGGTTTCATGAGTATTGGGCACCTTTCATCGCCTGGAGGTCACTAATCTCAGAATTATATATATATATATATATATATATATATATATATATATATATATATATATATATATATATATAATTATTATTTTTTTATCTATATAAATAAACCACAGATTAGAGTTTTAAACAACTACATTCTAGCAAGAAAAACAGTTAAAACTTAATTTTCGGATGCATATAGAGCCATCGAAGACGGGGCAATTGTCCCAATGTCTAGCCTGAAGACAGGCACCTCTCGGCGGATACATGAGTAATGAGCGCCGTTACCGCCTGGAGGTCATAGATCTCCGCTACCGGCAAAACACACTTAAAATTACACACAATCTTTACTAACAATCCACAGATTTGAGTTTTGAAGAACTACATTCTCGCATGAAAAAGTATTAAAACTTTATTTCATTACATATTAAAAGCAATATTTATAATATTATGTGCCTTCTCATCCACCATTACAGCTTGATGCAGCTTGGTGCGAATTGAATCCTGGGAGGAAAAAGTAATAATTCTCAAAACACTCCAAACGAACTTTATTCTTATTGTTAAAGTCAGAGATATATAATATTTTGAATGGCGAAGAAAATAATTAACTTTATATTTCAATCAATATATTACTTTTGCACTGCTTCGATTCAGGACTCGTGTGACATTGAATCAGATTCAGATATTTTATCAGACGTGTTCATGAGCTCATAGTCATCAACAAGCAATTCGTGTACAAGCAGTACACGAACCAAGCAATATGATGAAATATTAATGAATTATATGTTTGCGTCTTGCAATATTATACAAAATGGAATCGTTTTCAGGCGAATTCGACTCTTTACTGTTCACTTAAAGGAGCCGAATTCGACTCTTTACTGTTCACTTAAAGGAGCCGATTCATTTAACAGAACTGACTCGACTCGACCGCAAACAAGCGCCATCACCACAGACAACGCCTGCCTCGTCTCTTCACCAAACGAATTCATCCTCGGTAAGTGTTAAAATATGACTTTTGTCCGTTAAATGAGTGTTGTATGTGTATTTCTGTATAGTGCATGTCATTTAACAGGAATTTACCGAGTACTTTAGTTGTACTCGCACGTACAGGGTTTAAGCGCGCCTTTTTTAAAACAAGAAATTAACGACGCTGAATGGTGATTGTAGTGTTTTCTGAGGTATTAGCATAACGTTAACGTTAGTTCCTGATAAAAGAAAGGGAATTTTCTTTAATTAACTTCTTGTTAACTGCTTTTTCTGTTTCAGTACAAGACTGAAGTAAAGGTGAAATGACTAAAGTTAAGGTAAGCTCTGACCTTCACTTAAGTTAACGTTATACGGTTAGTCACCATCATGTAACTTTACGTTAATTTTGTTCACTGTAACGTTAACGTAAGTTAGTTAAACTAAACTAAACTCATTATGAAACGAGTCTTAACTGTTTTATTAAATGAGGCTTATAATACAATTCAGTTGTATTCTTTTAAACTAACACTAACACAGTACATATTGTATATTTCTCACTGGTGTTAATGCAGTGCTAACATTTACTAATGAGAACTAATTGTATATTGTCACTAACTGTAGATTTTGTTTTTTGGTGTTCAGGTGTAACTTACCTGATAATAGCTGAAGTGTGAGGTGAGTGTAAATTCTGAGCACACAAATATAGCCTAAATTCATTATCACGATCTAAACCTATATATATATATATATATATATATATATATATATATATATATATATATATATATATATATATATATATATATATATATATATAGAGAGAGAGAGAGAGAGAGTGTGCGTGTGTTAGGTTGAGTCTTATTCTACTCTTTATTATATTCATATTTTTTTGCAGCCACAGCCATTGATGTTGAAACACTGATGCTACCAATCAACCCTCGCTTGATTATTAAAGGTAATGTTGATGCCTTCCTCATTTTTATTAGATTTTTAAATGTCAGGTTTTTCACAGATTTGTTGTGAGCAGTTTCTTGTACAAACTCTTTTTCTTCTTCCAGAAGTTCCACCAGTACCTCCAGTAGTAGTAAATATTAGACAAAGATTTTTTTAAACTATAGTTTTTATTTTTATTAGCAATTTTACTGGGCATGTGTGTTTGTTTGCTTGGTTTTTAATAGGCAGAGCATGGAATGTCAACTTTGTTTCTACAAACAATTTTAATTATTCACAAACACCTCTAATTTAGTCCTTCTTTCCCCCTTTTAGTCTTATTCCTTGGAAGGTCGAGTGGTCATGGGACCTCACCTGGATTTCACAACTGACTTTGGATCTGGTCTGAAACTGAAGTATGCTGAAGTTGCCTTTTGCACTCTGGAATTTAAGGTAATGTCAACAATAAATATTGTAACTGAGGGCTTGTTTTGGGGGGGGGTTAAACAAGGAATGTATAGTAGCACAAGTCATGACTCCCCTTGTCCCCTTGTTATAAAGGGCCGTGTTGCAGACACAATTTGTTTGTCTGTGCTGGAGACCAGAGGGGAAGCTGTCTTTAAAAGGATGGGGCTCTTATACCATATGTGAAGTTACCTATTCAGGTGAGTGGATTACATGCAAGTCATTGCAAATGCATAAATAGTGGGAAATTTTTACTGGGCAGCACAAATTAAGTGAAACTCAAAACATGTGGAAGAATATTTGGAATATTTACAAAAAACTTAATTGAAATGAATACAACACAAGTGCTGTATCACTTCAATCAAGTTTTTTTTGCAAAATTTTCCTAATATTTAAATCATGAAAAATTAGCTTGATGCAAGAAACATCCTGCTAGTATTCAAGAGCAAGTACTTTTAGTATGCATGTGTTTACTTTGCAATAAGTGTGAACCCAGCATTAGATTATAGTCTGTAAACAGAAGGTGTAAATCAAATCAACTGTTTTAAAATGCTCTGCCTAGGTCATTCAAATCACTATTTGTTGTTGGACTGTTCTTGATTGTGTTTGTGATGGAAATGTTTTTCAGATGTTTTTGTTTAAATGATTGCAGTTTGACTGAGCTACAGTATTGTCAGCATGTTCAAACTAAGCTAACAGTAATTTTGCTCTCTAGTGCAGCAGTAGTGTCCCAGTAGTGTTGTATGAAGCTAACTGTTTGTCTGCCCTTTTGCTTATAGGTGCTTTTTGGGCACCAGTTTGGAGATGGAAGACAGACGAAGTCAAAGAAGCAGAGAAGACACATCAACCAGCAAGTGTGTAAAATTATCAGGAAAATGATTGACCTTGAATAGACGACTGCCTAATTTAGCAAGAAGTTTTGTCTCTCTCTCTCTCTCTCTCTCATGTGTGTGTGTGTGTGTGTGTGTGTGTGTGTGTATATATATATATATATATATATATATATATATATATATATATATATATATATATAATGAGAGAGCGCGCACTCTGAAGCACTGCTTTTTATATGTATGCTACATATGATGTCAGATTTTTTTATTAATATGTTCTTATAGTATTTTTTGAGGCTTCACCTTCACCTTTTGAAAGTTTTCTGAAATGTTTACACAGATGTCATTAAGCTGTTAAATAAATCTGTAAAATGTATGTGTGTTTGTTTTTATTTTGATTTTAGAGTCTTCTCAGATCACCCAGAAATGAAGATTCTGTCGTCATTTACGCATCCTCAGGTTGTTTGGACACAAAGAGGGATATTTGATATTTTTATTCCTGTGTTTAACAAAAAAAAATCATTTTTAACATAGCTGGAACAACCTGAGGGTGAGTAAATCAAGATAGAATTTTCATTTTTGTGTGACCTAAAATTGCTTTGAAATTTTACAGCACCAAACTGTTAAATTACAGTAATCCGGGATATAACTTTAACTTTACAGTTAAATCAGGTATTTAAACCGCAACCTACTGCTAAATCACAGTAATCGTTTAACAAATTCACAGTAAAATATAGTTAATTCTACAAGATAATACTGTGAAATCACAGTAACGGACTTTATTATCTACTGTAAAGTTACAATATATGGTTGTAATTTCACAATAATTTAATGTGACAAAACCACAGTAAATTACTGTGAACTACCTCACAATAATTTACTGTGAATTTACATACAGTAATTTACTGTGAAAGTAATGCAATTATTAGCCAGTAATTTACTGTGAATTTAAGGTCAAATTTTTTACAGTGTTGTTTTGCCAACACAACGTGGCGTCTCTGTGGCGTAAACACTGTGACACTAATGAATATTATTGAAGTTGCACAATAGAGCGCGCTGATTGGTTTGAACCAAGCCTTACTCATGCATTAATGCAACACACTGTAAGACGTAATAAGACTCACTCTGGCACAGACGTCCAGTCTGCACGCTGGAATACACACTATTATCTCATGACCGTGACGCAGCTTCAAAAATTCGTTTCAAACCGGAAGTACGAATTTGCTTGAAATAACACAAAAACAACCAATTTACACTTTTGTAAATTTTGTTAAATCTCTAATAAAAATGTAAAAAAGAAAGAAAGAAAAGAAACAGAGCCAGTAAAGATCCTTATCAAACTTTCTTAGAAACATAGAAAGATGTTCTTTATATGATTTTTACGTAGATGTAAATAAACAATAAATATGGTGTCTGATCTGTTATCTTTGTCCTGTAATGCCAATTCAGCAGTCAGAGATCAAACCCACCAGAGTCCAGCTCTGTGTCTATGAAGAGTGACCAGTCAACGCTAGAGCCTGAAAAAGTTGATGGAGGACACACATCGACTGGAATAGGGTACATTTTACTTTGTCAAACAAACAAGAATAAAATTAAATAACAATCCTACAAGAAATGCATCAAACAAAATACTATTGCATGTGACATTCCACTAAGCAAAACAAAGCCAGTAAAGATATTTATCAGACTTGTGTTGTACAAAAATGAATTGAGTGAATAGAGAAGAGAACCCCGTCCAACAGACTCGAAACAAGCAGAATTCCTTTAATGAGACGTGTTGGTTAATCTGCAGTCATACAGCATCTTCAAGAAGTCCATTTGTCTGCAGAGCCTACTGGAGCTCTGCAGTCTGGGAGATTTATCACAAGTCTGAATTAAGACACAGATGTCATGTCTATATTGTGTTCTTATGAGGAGGGGAGACGCCTAAACAAAGCATGCAAATTCACTTTTGGAGTCAGCAGGGTAAATTGGCTTTTAGGTGTTAGATACCGGCCCAGCTACTGACCACACAAATCAATCAACAAAAGGGTTTCTGTACCCTGAAACGATCACCCAAAGACAAAGGCAGAGTAGTTTTAAAGCATTTGCATGACTTTGGCTTAGCCTGTAGTCAGAAAGACCAAGGTTAATGTCTCTCATGGCTGGGCTGTAGGCTTGGGCGGTTTTACGGTATTATGGTATACCGCTGGATCTAAAAATAGCAATGGTGTGAGTTTCAATACCGTTATACCGTCATAAAATATTAAATATCCTTTATTTAATGCCTACAAAAACGTATGTTTGGTTGTCATCACGGGACAGTGTGGAGGAGAGAGAGAGAGGAAGAGCAGGGTCCCCGCGGGTCCTTAAAAAGTCTTAAAATGTCTTAAATAAAATTTTCGATTTTTAAGGTCTGAAAATGTCTTAAATTCTGTAATTTTCCATAAGGAGGTCTTAAATTTCATGTGGGATCTTAAATATCATGTCCGACTCGTCTTATGGCGGCAAATCAATGCCAATATAAATCGAGCGCAGCGGTGATGTTTGCGCGTGAGGAGAAGTGAACCGTGAGCAGATTACAGGTCTACACGCGAGAAAATTACAGCTCGCGAGCGCACAGGGGATCTTCACGCGCGCGCTCAACTGATCCAGCGCGAGAAAACAAGTCCCGCGCGTGCACATTATCATCTGTGCGCACGATGTACGCTCTCGCGAGCGAGGTCATGCCTACAGCGCGCGCGCGATCAGTTCTCTCCGCTCGCTGGTTCTTCTCTCTGCTCGCGCGAAACAGTTTAGATTTTTGTGAGTCCTAGGGCGGGACTTGGTTTTCTTGTTATCTCTAACGCTATTGGCTACTCTACCTTTCCAGAAGTTAGCCGGGATTGGACGCAGGTAAGCTAGTTTCCCCGTTAAATAAAATTATATAGGAAATCTTATCATAATGTCACAGTGTGAAACATAGACTTACTTTCTTAGTTAATAATAGGTGGAGACTTACTTTCAATAATGAGATATTTTTTGTAATAATTAATCTCATAATAATGCCTATTCTTACCATCATGACCAAGTCATATAATGACATATCAAAATAATGAGATATATTCTTGTAACAAACTTTATTAATTGGGAGAGAAAGAGAGAGTTATACCATGTGGCAAAAGATCTCTCCATTAAACAGAAATTGAGGAAAATATACATGGGCTATTAAATCAGGACGAATAATTCAGACTTTAAATGTGTTTTGAACCATTTGATGAAGTTTAGCACCTACATTTAAACTGAACTCAAACTAAACGTGTTCAAATTTACAAAAATCTTTTTTTTTTCTAAGATTCATTGTCCTTGACTCATTTTCTGTGAAGAACAAGTCAGAATAAATTGGATGGACAATAGTATACAAAATAGGCTATACATGCATGCAGTGCATAAAGTACAAAGGTTTATAGTAAATATATTGCCATTAGTCTGTTATTCCACTATACAGTTAAAGTCAGAATTATTAGCCCGCCTGAATTAATAGCCCCCTGTTTATTTTTATCCTAATTTTTATTTAACGGAGAGAAGATTTTTTTCAACACATTTCTAAACATTATAGTTTTAATAACTCATTTCTAATAACTGATTTATTTTATCTTTGCCATGATGACAGTAAATAATATTAGACTAGATATTCTTCAAGACACTTCTATACAGCTTAAAGTGACATTTAAAGGCTTAACTAGGTTAACTAGGCAGGGTAATTGGGCAAGTTATTGTATAACGATGGTTTGTTCTGTAGACTTTCGAAAAAAATAAATAGGTTAAAGAGGGTAATAATATGGACCTTAAAATGGGTTTTAAAAAATTAAAACAGCTTTTATTCTTGCCGAAATAAAACAAGAAAAAAGTGGGCTAATAATTTTGACTTCAACTGCATATGTGACCTTTAAGATGTGGGCCTGTCGTATAGAAAGTAGTATTTGTATGCCTCTGAAGTGGAATGATGTAATGGATAGTGAGTAAAGCCAAACGAAGATTGTAGAAATTAAATTGTTGCTCAATAGGTGGCGATAAAAACCCATCTGAATGTCTGTCACTGTATTTTTTATGTTTAATTGGGCTAATCATTTTTGATTGAAGTCTTTATATGCAGGTTATTCAATCATTAACTAAAAATGAGATTGAAAAATATATATAATATATATAGATATATATATATTTTACACTGATCTATATTACAAACAATGTTAAAAATTATCTATAAAGATAAATTAATTGTAATTATCTATAAAGATCTAAAACGCAAATAAACTCTTCTGAAGACAATATTTCCTAGAAAGATCATCCCCAAGTGTAATAATGAGCACTGCTGTTGTGGTTAATAATGAAGTAAAATACAACAAACCAGACAAGTGCTGCACGGACAAATCAAATGGGTTCAGAAAGTCATGTTACAAGAATGCAAGTCATTATTTTGGATATTATTTGACTGTTTCTCGAGATTGAATCCTCATAAAGTTCATAAAGTTCTCAGAAAGTTTCTTATGATTATGACTTGCAAATTGTATATATATTTAACGGCATGATCTTTTAACTTGCGTCCAATCCCGGCTAACTTCCGGAAAGGCACAGTAGCCAATAGCGTTAGAGATAACAAGTAAACCAAGTCAACCAAGTAATCTGCTCACGGTTCACTTCTCCTCGCGCGCAAACATCACCGCTGCGCTCGATTTATATTGCCATTGATTTGCCGCCATAGATTTGCCGCCATACTTCACCACATCATTCTGTGTTCACACTGAACATTTTCCTGTTTTTTTTTTTTTTTAGGTAAAGTCTTAAATTTTCATTTTAGAGGACTTAAAAAGGTCTTAAAAGGTCTTAAATTTTCTGTTAAAAAATGTGCAGATACCCTGAAGAGGGAGAGGGAGGGGGAGAGGGTGAGAGGGAGGGGGAGAGAGGGACAGGGAGAGGTGACGTGACGAGTGGCGCTCCAAAGTGTCCTGCAGTTTGGCAGTTTCGACTGAACAGAAAGGAGACGTGGTTAATATGAACGAGATATCTGCATTAGAGCTGAAGATCTTTGCCCGAACCCGGCGAGACCCGAAAAAATCCAAATCCCTGCATTACAATCCATCCCTGCAAAGGTGAAACAAATGATGATGAAGTAGTATAAAAAGCGAATTTTGACGGTGGTCAAGTCAGTCACTAGCTCAGAAGAAGCGGTTATTCCAGCCGCAGGTATTTCGCGGTCGCTCATACACTGCGTATTACGGTAGAGCCCTAAACCGCAAGCTGACAGGTAAAATGACGAGGCCATTCGCTACACTGAAACTGCTGTCATGGAAAATTAAATGGATGTTCCTGACTAGTAGAAGATGAACAAACAATCCTACCCAAAACTTGCAAAATCAGCCAGATCAGAACTCTGCATCTCGACCTGTAGCCGCAGGAAAGGGTGTTCAGTTCTGCTGGACGCACCATGAGTGAGAGACTGCGCTAAAGCCAGTGGATTTAATAATGTTCCTCCACAAACACACGTAGCCTAACCTTGGTGAGTAAAGGGTTTTTCAATTATAAATAAATATTAATTAAACCATATAATCATAATGTAGACAGAGTATACAGGCTAATGGTGACATTATTCTTTTAATATTCATCTTCACCGCCGCCTTAATGCCAGATTGTAAAGAGAAGTGGATAAACAAATTGCACAGCCTTTATCTTAATTTCGTTATTGCCAAAATACCCGTCATCATTTAGAGTTTATTTTAATTTGATTTGTTAAGCAAGAATTCTTTTCATTGGTGTGATGGCCAATTTAAAGGCTAAGTGCATGTACCTAGACCTATAGAGTGCTGAGATGTTACGATGTTACAGAGGAATTATTTTAGTTCTTTGTTCCAACTTCCAAGTGGTCTATAGTCTACGTTTGTTACAAATAAATGATGTTAAAACATATAAATGACTCATTCTTGAAAAAGTGCATTAGAGCTGTGTGCATGAGCACATTTGAATAATGTCGGGCTACAAACGGGTTCGGGCTTTATAAAGCTGTCAATCAAAATGTAGCCTACCTGTCGGACTCGGGACCTATCGGGTATAATTTTTATGGCCCGATTACAGCTCTCTGCATTCCCGCTGCTGTTCCGTGGGAGCCGGCCAGATTTCTTACAGTGTGGGAGTAAATTTCTGAATAAATCGCGGGAGAGATGTGTGTGTGTGTTTGTGTAAGAGAGAGAGAGAGAGGGAGAGGTGCTGTGCTGCGCGCTCTCTCTCTCTCTCTCTCTCTCTCTCTCTCTCTCTCTCTCTCTCTCTCTCTCTCTCTCTCTCTCTCCTCTCTGACCGCGAACCTATGGTCGCATAGAATGTATTCAGTTTCTGAATGGTTTAGGCTCAAGCTAACAGTTTGTTGACGCTGTCTGAGCCTTACGTCATAATTTTTTTTTATTACGCAGGTAATACCGGATACAGGGGTAAAATATGGAGGCGGTTTGACGGTATCAAAATTTGGATACCGCCCAAGCCTACTGGGCTGTTAATAGAATGATATAATCAAAAACCTAAGAATATAACTTTTCAGTTTTATGTAGATTATTGTTCATTTGAAATTAGATTATATAAATGTATATTCCCACACTTGCTTAGAAACATAGAAAGATGTTCTTTAAATGTTAAATAAGCAATAAATATGGTGTCTGATCTGTTATCTTTGTCCTGTAATGCCAATTCAGCTGTCAGAGATCAAACCCACCAGATCCAAAGCCCAGGTCTATAAAGAGTGACCAGTCAACGCTAGAGCCTGACAAAGTTGATGGAGGACACACATCGACTGGTCTAAGGTACATTTTACTTTGTCAAACAAACAAGAAAAAATTTTAATAACAATCATACAAGAAATGCATCAAACAAAATACTATTGCATGTGACATTCCACTAAGCAGTTTTAAGCATTACAAGAACTTTTCAGGCTTTGACAAGTTCATTCTAAACCCTGAGTAAACTGACTCCTGGGTTATGTTGATTTACATTTAACACATTGCCCAGGGTTAAAATTGTTTAGAATGACAAAGACCTAGGGTTAAGCTCAGATTGAAAAGACATTGTTTTCATATTTTTGTATGTTGGTGTTAGGGATGCTCAAAATAATCTATTAATCGAAAGGGTGTGTTTGTGACCGATTAATGCTATCAGTTAAACGGTTAAAAGTATTATTTTATATATTTTTAGTTTGGCTGCATAAGGGGCCGATTGAATGCGCATTTGCATTAAGAGGGGCATCTTTTGCACGCGGCTCATCCCAGAGCAGCAGTTTGTGTTGTCAAGACAACTACAGAGAACTTTTAAAGAGCTTGGTTTCTGCTACATTCATTGTTCCATGGCGGGGACCAATATGCATCCCTCCACGGCTACATTTCCCATTCAAAACATTCAGTCATTGTTGTTGTTTTTAATAGTGGATTATAACCACACCAAAACGTATTAAAAGGTAAGTGGATTATAAGAGCGCAAACATTTCTGTAACCGTATAGTGCTGTCCGCTATCTGTTTAACCCTTTGGGGTTACTTGCTGACTGACTGGCTGGCTGACTGACTGACTGACAGGTGCGCGATGCGTGAGGCCAGCAAACACGATGAAGCTTTCGGTTAAGATGAACACAGTTTCTATAGTTATACTTTATTTATAGATAAAGTATGGCTCTGTATATAATCACTCTATCTTGCTGGAGTTTATAGCCGTCTCGCTGTACTTCAGGACGCATTAACGCCGCTCTGAAGGTCTAATCGCTGTTTTAAGTTATCCAGAGCTGTATGAATGTACAAATCTTGAATATCACAATATTAATAAATATTACAATTGTAACAACACAGACAGCAACACTTTTGCACAATCGATACCCAGCTGATTCAGTCGTTTCATAAGAGGACCGCGCTTCTTTCCTTCCTTTTCCTTGTCAACATAAAGGCAGTGAGGTGCGCCTTGTTTTCGGCCCCTTCTTCAACTGCAAGACATATTGAACTTGCGGGAAGATAACGTATAACCCGTGGCTACAGACACATTTGCCAAAGAAACAAAATGGAAGAAGAATATTGCTGTTTGATACAGACGTGTTGATACCAAACCAGCGCTGATGTTGACCTGGATCTGCGTAATAAACGCAACAAATAGGCTTTACCTTTTATTTTACAGCTTATAAAGCATGTATGCACATTAATGCAATATCATATTTAAACAACAAAACTGTTTACAAAAAGTCAACATATGCGCGCCTTGTTGTTGTCTTTTCATCACGCAGCGCGCACACTTGAACCGTGTGAGAGAGAGGAAACCATAGCAAGACATAATCTTTAAAATAATGACTTCTATTAAAAATGTAAAAAGGTTTTGTGATTATAATAATAACAGCGGGGCATTACATAAATGCATATTTTCCGTGGAGCGAGCGATTTGAGGAAGTCTGCTATTTTTATTTGACGGAAGAAAAAAACATATGATTGGAAAAAAAACAGCCAGTTATTAAAAAGAAACAGTCAGTGTTTTCGTTTTGTAATATAAATTAATTATTTAAGTGATAATAATTTAGGGCAGTCCTATTTATTTTATTTAGTTTATTCTGCTTTTCTGTGTTGAACACTGCTGGTGCGTGAAAATGCTCTGTTGTTCTGTTCCGTTATTAATATGCTAGCATATAAAAATAAATCAGTATTTTAAAATGCAATATTTAATGTGTCAGACACAAAATAGACACGTCAATTTGTTTAATAAAAAATTAATAGTAATCTGACCAGCTAACCGTTAATAACCGATTAATGAGGGGCAGTTGTCGGTTAACAAAATTAACCTAAATGAGCATCCCTAGTTGGTGTGGATTTTAGCATACACATTGATCAAGCTTCTTTGTCCTGACATTTCTTTAACGTCTGATCCCTTTTACACTAGTAATCCATCAATTGTATGAGTGGACTTAGAACAACTGTGTAAAATAACATATTTAGTTTGTTTGCGTTTAAATTTAATTTCAGTTCTAATAAAGAAAACTGTAAAGTATAAAAAGACTCCTAAAGGATTGTAATACCTTGATATTATGTGGATGAATAAATAATTGTATTGTAAGTGTAAAAATTTAACTTTGTACATTCTTTTCCCTTAGTTAAATCTCTAATAAAAATGTAAAAAAAGAAAGAAAGAAAAGAAACATCGCCAGTAAAGATCCTTATCAGACCTGCTTAGAAACATAGAAAGATATTCTTTATGTGATTTTTACGTAGATGTAAATAAACAATAAATATGGTGTCTGATCTGTTATCTTTGTCCTGTAATGCCAATTCAGCAGTCAGAGATCAAACCCACCAGAGTCCAGCTCTGTGTCTATGAAGAGTGACCAGTCAACGCTAGAGCCTGACAAAGTTGATGGAGGACACACATCGACTGGTATAAGGTACATTTTACTTGGTCAAACAAACAAGAAAAAAATTAAATAACAATCATACAAGAAATGCATCAAACAAAATACTATTGCATGTGACATTCCACTAAGCAGTTTTAAGCATTACAAGAACTTTTCAGGCTTTGACAAGTTCATTCTAAACCCTGAGTAAACTGACTCCTGGGTTATGTTGATTTACATTTAACACATTGCCCAGGGTTGAAATTATTTAGAATGGCAAAGACCTAGGTTTAAAGGGCCATGAAACCCCCCGTTTCAGCAGGATGTTTTCACACCTCTAGTTTGGAAAAAGTCAGGAAAGTGGGTGTGTCTAGCTTTGTTTGGGTGGGAGTATCGGGGGAGGAAAAATGGGCAGGGTTTAAATAAAAATGGGAGTTGCCATTTGGGCACGCGCTTCTGACCGAGTACAAACAAAGACACACACGCAGGGGAGACAGTGTGTTTAATGACGATGGAATGTTTAATATCGCACGTCGTATTAGAGAAAAAAAAGCCTCTGCATTTCTCTGTAACTCAGATGCACTCAGGAGGTCAGAAAGCCGTGTGTGTGTGTAGACTATCCTGTCACAAACTGCGCTGAAAATTCAACACGACTGTCGGCAAGAGAGCAGCATTTACAGCGGATCTTTCAATATTGTAGTAATATTAACGTACTGCAAACTAAGTTACAGAAGTTACAAAAGCAACACTGGCGACCCGTATCTCCAAACAATTCTTATTCTTTTCCCACAACTTTTGGTAACACTACGTGTGTCGTCTCTCTGCCGTCTGAACACTGTTTCAGGTACAGTCTAAAGGCTGATTTATACTTCTGCGTCAAACACCGGCGTATGTTACGGCGCTGACATATAGCCCTTCGCCGTGGCCGTGGCCGTCACTGACGTGCACCTCTCAAAAATTGTAACTACACGTCGCAACAACGCGTAGCGCAAGCTCTGTGATTGGTCGGCTTGCTAGCGCCGACGAGTCTGGGCGGGACCGAGAGCCGCGCGAATGGCGCGAGCGATTGTTTACAAGTGTGGAGTCCCGTGAAGGAGCTCCGGATGGAAAGTTTTGTTCTGTGTTTACCTCATGGTTAAAGTTGTTGCACGTCCGCCGGTTCCTGCCTCAAAATGAGCGAGTTTGAGTCACTTGTACATCCAGGAAGTGTTCAGAATAGCAAAACAGAAGCGAAGAAATTCAACACAGAGGAACATTTACACCTCACTGCCCACTAGCGTTTCGGAAGTGTTAATGCAGACCAACGGAGACAGCGCACAGAAGTATAAATGCACAGCTGCGCGCGTTGCCTGCGCCGTGAGTTGCGCCGGTTACTTGACGCAGAAGTATAAACCAGGCTTAAGAAAGCTAGCATGCATATTAATGAAGTTGCAGCGCATTCATAATGGAGCGCGCTGATTGGTTTGAACCAAGCCATTCTTATGAATGAATGCAACGCACTCAGAGACGTAATACGGGACGCCTTAGTACACACGTCCAGTCCACACGCTGGAATACACGCTATTATGTTATGGCCGTGACGCTGCTTCAAAAATTCGTTCTAAACAGGAAGTACGAATTTGCTCGAAATAACACAAAAACAACCAATTTTCAACAGCTCAAAAAATGTGTTTTGGTGTTTCGTGACCCGTTAAGCTCAGATTGAAAAAACATTGTTTTCATATTTCTGTATGTTGGTGTGGATTTTAGCATACACATTGATCAAGCCTCTTTGTCCTGACACTTCTTTAACATCTGACCCCTTTCACACTAGTAATCCCAACCAGAACAATGCTTTTAAACGTATTAATAAGTCAGTTATATCATAAACTAAACAATTACATCTATAGTTGAGAAACACCACAGCAGATCTTAATCTATTATAGTGTTTCTCAGTTATATATGCTTTATAATGTGTGATGCATCAATTGTATGAGTGGACTTAGAACAACTGTGTAAAATAACATATTTAGTTTGTTTGCATTTAAATTTAATTTCAGTTCTAATAAAGAAAACTGTAAAGTATAAAAAGACTCCTAAAGGATTGTAATACCTTGATATTATGAGGATGAATAAATAATTGTATAGACTCTATGCACGACCTTTTCCGCGTTTGCGATTAGACGGCATGACAACTTCCGGTGCAGCACGGCGCTCACTTTAAGCTTATAGCGCAGGTGAGTATGATAGATAAAACTCGCTGTTTCTAAGAGTTTCCTCGGCTTATCGTGAAGGACATTAATCGAATCGTTAGACAGAGAGCCGTCACATCAAGCAGCAAAGAAAAGAAGAGGTTCAAATTCTACATTTTGAGTTACATTCATCATTTTGAGGGTGAGTATCATCATGCTATATATATGAATAGCACTTAAACGCTAGCCGTGTCTGTTTCTCACTGTTCATATAGATTTTTATGTCATATTTTAATTATCTGTGTCATATCTATCCATCTTTATCTATTTACATATATGTACATTGTGTCCTTAATATCCATAAGTATAAACTAGTATGAGTTATTAGCTAACGTTATAGGTTATAGTTTCCAGGTTTCCTGTAAGGAGGAGTGACAGGAGAGATCAGCATGGAGTCAGAGAAGCTGCATTTGATTGGAAGGTTATTTATTCTCAGGATGACATAATGATCTAGCTCATCTACAAAGACATTAAAATGTTTCAGAAGACGCTGACCATTTCTTTCTGTTTTTATCTTTACCTGTCAAATTTTATTACAAATTTGAACAAAACACTCACACAACTTCTTATTTAACAATTGTTTAATGTTGTATTTTAACACATCGCTGTTAGGGAAATGTTTAACATCGTGTCAAACTATTTATATTTATACTGCAGTGAAAATGTCTAAAGTTGTGTTTTTACATTACTGCAGTGCAAATGTCTAGTTACTTATATTTACATATTTTAAGGGTTTTCCCTGTTCAAAATGAGTTGGAGTTAGTATCCCATTCATTACATTTTTGTGACTTGAAACAAATGCATTTTGCAGTATTCTTGTAATCTTTTTTTAAAAACATTCATTTTTAAAAAGGCTAACATTAAATGTAATTAAATACAACCAGTGCTTGAGCATCACTTGGGGTCTGACGGTAGTTGCCTTTTGCCTAATTATGCCTGATTTTTGTCAAAAGACAGAGGCAGTACATTTGATGGAGGTAAGCATTGCATATTTCTCTATGCACATAATACCCTGCTTATTTACACCTGCAGTGCAAGTATCTAAAATGATTTATATTTACATTAGTTAGAGCAATTGTTCACTTAAATTGTTCTGTAATATATGTTTAAATGAATATGCTGAAAATTAATGTTTATTATATTGACAACTTTATATTCCTGCAGTGCAGGCAACAACATATAAATTATGTACAGTGTGTAAACACTTTAATATCTAGCTCAAGCTTTTACTAATGCGCAGAAGGCAGGCCATTGTATTAATCTGGTTGGTGCTTGGTGTAATAGAAAGCTGTCTAGCTTGTGTTGCTTCATGCTGCGGATGAGATGCTCAGTGTAGACCCTCAGCCATGCCATGGACGATGTCTCCCTCACAGTTGCGCTTACTCTGGACATATTACTCTGGATATTGTAGGATGCAAGTTGTGAACCTAAATCAGATTTAATGCAAGTAGATGTATAAAAAATAAAGAAATGTATTAGCTTTTGCATATAAACACTTGTGCTTAACACATTTGTTTCTGTTTGTTATTTCCCTATTACATGACACTAGAATGTTTAGTTTGTGTTTACATACACACACACACACACACACACACACACACACACACACACACACACACACACACACACACACACATATATATATATATATATATATATATATATATATATATATATATATATATATATATATAAACTATACTGGAATTTATTCAAGTTCATGATAGTTAATACTACAAAATGTTGCTGCATTCATTAACAGAAAGTTGTAAATACAACAATATTCATTCATTCATGTTCTTTTCGGCTTAGTACTACAATATATACAGTATAGTACAATTTACTATAGTATGGTTAATAACGTATTATTATTTAATATAACATACAATTACAACTTGTCACTTCTTTCATTTGGTTTAAATTCAGATACATAATTCTTAATCGTACCTTTAGAGCTGTATAACACCAAAAGCAGCATGGAAGCAGTTTCCTTTCAGTCTCTCCACCTCCTCACGGAGACTTGTCAGCCTGATCCCGTGCATTAATCATCTGCCGTTCATTGTGGAAATGAACATTAATGATGTTCCAGATGCTGGGCATCCACTGACACAGGATCCTCACTAATTTATGTGTAAATCTCCCTTTTTGCCATGCTCCGAACGTGTTTAGGTTTCGCCGCTGTAAGATTTCACTGTTGAACACGTTTTGCGAAAGCAAAGAAACAGGCTTATTTTATACCGGAAATACGTCAGCAGAGTTTGTGCATAGAGTCTATTGTAAGTGTAAAAATTAAACTTTGTACAATTTTTTTCTCTTAGCTAAATCTCTTATAAAAATGTAAAAAAGAAAGAAAAGAAACAGAGCCAGTAAAGATCCTTATCAAACTTTCTTAGAAACATAGAAAGATGTTCTTTATATGATTTTTACGTAGATGTAAATAAACAATAAATATGGTGTCTGATCTGTTATTTTTGTCCTGTAATGCCAATTCAGCAGTCAGAGATCAAACCCACCAGAGTCCAGCTCTGTGTCTATGAAGAGTGACCAGTCAACGCTAGAGCCTGAAAAAGTTGATGGAGGACACACATCGACTGGAATAAGGTACATTTTTACTTTGTCAAACAAACAAGAATAAAATTAAATAACAATCCTACAAGAAATGCATCAAACAAAATACTATTGCATGTGACATTCCACTAAGCAAAACAAAGCCAGTAAAGATATTTATCAGACTTGTGTTGTACAAAAATGAATTGAGTGAATAGAGAAGAGAACCCCGTCCAACAGACTCGAAACAAGCAGAATTCCTTTGATGAGACGTGTTGGTTAATCTGCAGTCATACAGCATCTTCAAGAAGTCCATTTGTCTGCAGAGCCTACTGGAGCTCTGCAGTCTGGGAGATTTATCACAAGTCTGAATTAAGACACAGATGTCATGTCTATATTGTGTTCTTATGAGGAGGGGAGACGCCTAAACAAAGCATGCAAATTTACTTTTGGAGTCAGCAGGGTAAATTGGCTCATAGGTGTTAGGCCCCGTTTACACTAATGCGTTTTAGTTTGAAAACGCATAAGTTTTGCTACGGTTACGCCATCCGTCCACACTACGCCGGAGTTCTCGAGCGCCGAAAACGGAGCGTTTCGAAAACGCTGGAGAGGCCGTTTTCATTCTGAAACGCAGCTGCTCCGTCTCAGTGTGGATGATGGAAAACGGAGACATTTGAAAACGGAGGCGGGGCTGCAGACATTCGCCTCTCTGATTGGGGCTTTTCCTGAATATTAAGTAGCCTAACACGCACAGTTCAGTCCTGCATCTTCTCCGTGTAAGTTAAAACTTTGCAAGTTTGATCATGGCTGCAGTCTCTTCTTCTCAGTTTGATATGGAAAACAGACTATACCGAGGACACGGGTAAATCTTCAAAGGGAACAGTGTACTTTATAACTTCATTCACATCACCCTGGCTACGTTGTTTTACTTTCTCAACAATAAAATGTAAACATGATATAAGGAACTGCCTATTTTCATTTTAATATTAACAACTAAACAGACAGCAGAAATGTTGAGGCGCCGTGCTGCAAATATGAGCGTCATCTTCACTGTGTGCATATTTATAACAAAACGGAGCCGATAACAACTGCCTCCTTTCAATTTCAGTGAAAATACGAAACACACCCTCTCTTTGCTGAATATCAGTTTTAATCGATAACGGCCATTATAAAAGTATAACATACAATAAGTTTATACATTATAGGAAATAAAGGCAAGCGATCAGTCAAGAATACAGAATGGACGTGGTTACATTAATCATTAACTTATCTTTGCGCTTAGCCAAAACACGTTACCTGAGAACAAGTAATAGATTCCAATGTCCAATGAATATGTCGTTAAATAAAGACAAGAAGATGAAAGAAATATTCCGTTTAATAAATATAGTGAGGTTAGATCCAGCGGGAGATGCTTGATGAGAAGTCCGACTAGCACAGCTCTCATCTGGGTAGATTGGCTACAGCGCTTGCCTGAGTGTGTGTGTGGTCACGTGATGTGCGTTTTCAGCGTTTTGGTGTGGACGGAGAGCTGTTCAGAAACGCTGGGTGAAACGCGAGTGTGGACGCGGATCGTTTTCATTCTAAAACGCCGTTTTAAAACTAAAACGCACTAGTGTAAACGGGGCCTTAGATACCGGCCCAGCTACTGACCACACAAATCAATCAACAAAAGGGTTTCTGTACCCTGAAACGATCACCCAAAGACAAAGGCAGAGTAGTTTTAAAGCATTTGCATGACTTTGGCTTAGCCTGTAGTCAGAAAGACCAAGGTTAATGTCTCTCATGGCTGGGCTGTTAATAAAATGATATAATCAACAACCAAAGAATATAGCTTTTCAGTTTTATGTAGATTATTGTTCATTTGAAATTAGATTATATAAATGTATATTCCCACACTTGCTTAGAAACACACAAGCTCCCTACCACTGCTATGCTGATGGTACCCAGCTATACCTTTCTTTTCATCCTGATGATCCCTCGGTTCCAGCTCGCATCTCAGCCTGCCTGTTGGATATTTCACACTGGATGAAAGATCATCATCTTCAGCTGAACCTCGCAAAAACGGAAATGCTTGTAGTTTCTGCCAACTCGACTCTACATAATAACTTTTCAATCCAGATGGATGGGGCAAACATTACTGCATCCAAAGCCTTGGAGTAATGATTGATGACCAACTAAACTTCTCTGACCACATTTCTAGAACTGCTCGATCGTGCAGATTCGCACTCTATAACATCAGAAAGATCCGACCCTTCTTATCTGAACATGCAGCTCAACTCCTTGTTCAAGCTCTTGTTCTCTCAAAACTGGATTACTACAACTCTCTACTAGCCGGGCTTCCAGCTAACTCTATCAAGCCTCTTCAACTGCTCCAGAATGCAGCAGCACGAGTGGTCTTCAATGAACCTAAACGAGCACATGTCACTCCGCTGCTCTTCCGTTTGCACTGGCTGCCAGTTGCTGCTCGCATCAAATTCAAAGCTCTGATGTTTGCCTACAAAGTGACTTCTGGCCTTGCTCCTTCTTATCTGCTCTCGCTTCTGCAGATGTATGTGCCCTCCAGAAACTTGCGTTCTGTGAATGAACGTCGCCTCGTGGTTCCATCCCAAAGAGGGAAGAAATCACTTTCGCGAACGCTCACGCTCAATCTGCTCAGTTGGTTGAATGAACTCGCTAACTGCATCAGAACAGCAGAGTCACTCGCTACTTTCAAGAAACGACTAAAAACTCAACTATTTAGTCTCCACTACACTTCCTAATCTGCAATTGCCTCTTTGAATATCACACTAATTGTACCAAAAAAAAAAAAAAATACTAATACTACTAACACTTCCCTTCTTAGACTTTACAGACCTGAAACTTGCCTATAGCACTTATTCATTGTTTCTCTTAGTTGTGTAAATTGCTTCCTTGTCCTCATTTGTAAGTCGCTTTGGATAAAAGCGTCTGCTAAATGACTAAATGTAAATGTAAACATAGAAAGATGTTCTTTAAATGGTAAATAAACAATAAATATGGTGTCTGATCTGTTATCTTTGTCCTGTAACGCCAATTCAGCAGTCAGAGATCAAACCCACCAGAGTCCAGCTTAGTGTCTTTGAAGAGTGACCAGTCAACGCTAGAGCCTGACAAAGTTGATGGAGGACACACATCGACTGGTATAAGGTACATTTTACTTTGTAAAGCCGCATTTCCACTATCGGGCCAGTGCGAGCCAGGGGTTTTATCGGGCCTAGCCGGGCCAATCGCCCTGGAGGTTGAGCAGTGAGGCCGAAATTATGTCGCGTTTCTACTGTGGGGCTAGTTGCTCGCAGCGCGTCATGCAAACCCCGCCCCCAGAACATCCCCCAAATCGAACTTCACTCAATCCGCCCACTCCAGCGGGAATCAGGCAGATAAAGCACACCATCACATCATCACGAAACTATTAAAATTAGGACAAACAAATGACTCGTTACTGTACAGCAGTAAAATGTATGTATATACGCACATACCTCTGTGTTCTCATTCATCATATTCATTTACTCGCGACCGACTGGCATCGAAATCCAGTGGTCTCGCCACTAACTGAGGGACCTAGCACAGGCAGCGCACACATCCATAATATAACACCACATATATAAAATTCTCCGTTAATAACTCGATATAAAATGTATTTTATAACATCCTCAGTTAGACAGACGTTGTCCAACATTCATCCCAAATGCTCCGGAGAGAACTGAAACATGAACTTTTCCCTATAGGCTTTATGACACTTAATAGGTGATTCCTTTTATTTGAAGATGTTGCTTATTATATCTTAAGTAAAGGAAAGTGTTCAGTGTTTCAGCACATAAGAGCAACACGTAATAAAATATAGCCTATATTGCGTTGCGCTCAGCAGCTATGCACTAATAAAGCTCTTCGTGTATTTAAAGTTTCCTTTTTTAATTTTACCACATATAAAAACATACACACTTGTTTGAGAAAACAGAACACATTTTGAACTTGCAGTTTTCCCCGATGCATCTGTAAAGTGCTGCGCAGCTGCGGACAGAAAAAAAGGTCGCCTAGTTACTGCTTTCACTCAATCCTGAAAATGCTCTGTTTGCATGATGTGTTTAAAATCATTGTATCCAAATACTTTATAAATAATATTTAAAACATTCTCCGGTGTTTATTGTTTTTAGAAAATATCTAAAATCTTTTTTTTTTTCAGAGAGGCTTTTGAAAAATGAGAGTTTGATGGCTTTAAAGCAGTTTGATATAGTACCTAATTGTTATAGCTAGCTTTTGTTAGTTTTATATTGGTTTATTTATTTAATGTGATTTTAATATATCTGATATTTGTAATTCTTTAAATTATTTCAATAGCTTAGGCTATTTTATATAGATAGGACACTACTGTTTTGAGCCTACAAAAGTGGACACAAAATTCATAAAGTTTAATGTATTTCTGTTGTATTCATATTGTGTATTATCTCCAAAATAAATACAAACAATAAAAAATAAAAGAAAAAAGCTGCTCGCAGCATGAACAGAGCTGTGAAGGGAGCACTCTTTTCCTCGGTCTCACACACACATACAGGCATCAAACACACACAAACACACCTTTTAAACTCGACAAAAAACTCTTGAAAACCTTTACTGTCTCCTGTGTCTTTAGTATGGTCTAAAGATTATTATGCGTTATTGAATCATCAAGGAGGACGCAGCAAAGAAAGGTCACTTATAAATTAAAACTACTTTATTATTTTTTACAACAGCCTTACATTTAAAAGAGAAAGATAAGGGCGATCATACGCAAAAAGACCCCAGCCTATAATTTGTTCCAGATGTTTTCTTTCCCTTTTTTATTTATTTGTTATATGTTTGGCGCATGTACTCGTGTGCGATCGGAAAACTGTGCCCACCTCTCCTTTCACTCTGCCCCAAAGCCCCGGCTGGCCCTCTTTGGCCCAAGGTATTCGGCAAGCTGAAAAAGGTTGGCCGCTGGCCCCAAGAAAGCCCCGATTTGGCCCGATTAGGCCCTGGAAGTGACAGTGGAAATGCGACTAGCCTTGGCTCGCCCTGGCTCGCACACTTTAGACGCGATAGTGGATAGTGGAAATTATATAAATGTATATTCCCACACTTGCTTAGAAACATAGAAAGATATTCTTTAAATGGTAAATAAACAATAAGGTATGGTATAACAATATGGTGTCTGATCTGTTATCTTTGTCCTGTAATGCCAATTCAGCAGTCAGAGATCAAACCCACCAGAGTCCAGCTCTGTGTCTATGAAGAGTGACCAGTCAATGCCAGAGCCTATCAAATTTGATGGAGGACACACACCGACTGGTCTAAGGTACATTTTACTTTGTGAAACAAACAAGAAAAAAATTAAATAACAATCATACAAGAAATGCATCAAACAAAATACTATTGACAACTTTGACAAGTTCATTCTAAACCCTGAGTAAACTGACTCCTGGGTTATGTTGATTTACATGTAACACATTGCCCAGGGTTAAAATTGTTTAGAATGACAAAGACCTAGGGTTAAGCTCAGATTGAAAAGACATTGTTTTCATATTTCTGTATGTTGGTGTGGATTTTAGCATACACATTGATCAAGCCTCTTTGTCCTGACACTTCTTTAACATCTGACCCCTTTCACACTAGTAATCCCAACCAGAACAATGCTTTTAAACGTATTAATAAGTCAGTTATATCATAAACTAAACAATTACATCTATAGTTGAGAAACACCACAGCAGATCTTAATCTATTATAGTGTTTCTCAGTTATATATGTAGTTGTTTCATTTGTCACTCAGATTCTGTATCTGAGGTTTGTTTGTGTAATTCAAATATGAATTCTCTGCTCTATTTCATGTCAATGCCACAGTGAAACATCAACGAATGACCAGTTTATGAACAAGCAAGTGAAAATTAAGAGAAGACACACACTGACTGGTCTAAGGTACAACAATTTACTTTGTCAAACATTTATTCATTTATTTTATTTTCGGTTTAGTCCCTTTATTAATCAGGGGTTACCACAGCGCTATGAACAGCCAACCTATCCAGCATATGTTTTACGCAGCGGATGCCCTTCCAGCCGCAACCCATCACTGGGAAACACCCATACACATTCACACAAATACACTACAACAAATTAAGCTTTATACAAATGTCTTTGGACTTTGGGGGAAACCGGCGCACCCAGAGGAAACCCACGCCACACAGAAATGCTAACTGCCAAGTGATTTCTAGGTTATATTATTTACATTTTACACATTAACCAGGGTTAACAGTGTTTAGAATGGCAACAACTTAGGTTTAAGCTCAGATTGAAAAGCCATTGTTTTCATATATCTGTATGTTAGTGTGGATTTTAGCATACATTGATCAAGCCTCTTTGTCCTGATGTTTCTCTATATCTCCTGAACCCATTTAAATGTAATTCAAATATGAATTCTCTGTTCTATTATCATATATGTTCTGTGTCAATGCCACAGCAAAACATCAATTAACTACCAGTTTATGGAAAAGCAACTGAAAACTGAGAGAAGACACACATCGACTGGTCTAAGGTACAATATTTCCATCTTTTACGACTCTCCTAAACTGAATATTTGGCAACTTTTTCATTTGAGCTATCTTTGTGAAATTTGCTGAATTAAAGTTTTATTTTGCTTTATTTTATATTCTGTAATTTTAATCTTTCAGTCTCAATTCTAAACTGTTTGAAAATCTATTAAAATCAAACCTGCTGAAGAAGTTTCAGTGCGTGTCTGAAGGAACATCAATACTGGGAAACCCAACACTCCTGAATGAGATTTACACAGAGCTCTACATCACAGAGAGTGACAGTGGAGAGATCAATAATGAACATGAGCTGAGACAGATTGAGACACAATCCAGAAGATCAGCAAAAGAGGACACACCGATCCAATGCAGAGACATCTTTACACCTTTACCTGGACAAGACAAAGCCATCAGAACTGTGCTGACCAAGGGAGTCGCTGGCATTGGGAAAACTGTCTCTGTGCAGAAGTTCATTGTGGACTGGGCTGAAAAGAATAAGAATCAGGACATCCAGCTCATATTTCCCCTTCCTTTCAGAGAGATCAACCTGATGAAGGACAGAACACTCAGTCTGTCAGATCTGCTGCAAGTGTTTTTCCCTGAAACTAAAGAAATGGAAATATCCAGTGAACATTATAAAGTGTTGTTCATCTTTGATGGTCTGGATGAGTGTCGAGTGTCTCTGGACTTTGACAGTGGTGTGAAACTGCATGATGTCTCTGAATCCGCCTCAGTGGACGTGCTGCTGATGAACCTCATAATGGGGAATCTGCTTCCCTCTGCTCTCATCTGGATCACCTCCAGACCGGCAGCAGCAGATCTCATTCCCTCTGGGTTTGTCCATCGAGTGACAGAGGTACGAGGCTTCAATGACCCTCAGAAGGAGGAATACTTCAGGAAGAGAATCAGAGATCAGAGTCTGGCCGATACAATCATCTCACACCTGAAGTCCTCCAGGAGCCTCCACATCATGTGCCACATCCCAGTGTTCTGCTGGATCTCAGCCACGGTTCTGGAGAAGATCTTCAGTCAAGCAGAGAGAGGAGAGATTCCCAAGACTCTCACTCAAATGTACACACACTTCCTGATCATGCAGACCAACATCAGACATGAGAAGGACTATGAGGAGGAAGATAAAGACATGATCCTCAAACTGGGGAAACTGGCTTTTGAGCAGCTTCAGAAAGGCAACCTGATCTTCTATGAGGAAGACCTGAGAGAGTGTGGCCTTGATCTGACAGAAGCAGCAGTTTACTCAGGATTGTGCACTCAGATCTTCAGAGAGGAGTTTGGCTTCAGTCAGAGTAAAGTTTTCTGCTTTGTTCATCTGAGCATCCAGGAACATCTCGCAGCTCTATATGCTCATCACTTTTTAACAAACAACTGCTTAAATAAGCACTGGAAGACATTTAATCCATTATCTTTTCTGCATCAGAGAGCTGTGAATGAAGCTTTACAGAGTAAGAATGGACATCTGGATCTTTTCCTGCGTTTTCTTCTGGGCCTTTCATTGGAATTTAATCAGACTCTCTTACAAGAACTACTGACACAGACAGGAAGCTGCTCCTACAACACAGAGGAAACAGTTCAGTTCATCAAGCAGAAGATCAGGGAGATTAACTCTCCAGAGAGATCCATCAATCTGTTCCACTGCCTGAATGAACTGGGTGATCAATCACTGATGAAGGAGATCCAGAATTATCTGAGATCTGGAGAAATAAAAGAAACCAAACTCTCCTCTTCTCAGTGGTCAGCTCTGGTTTATGTGTTGCTGACATCAGAGCAGGAGATGGAGGATTTCGATCTAAATCAGTTTATTGGAACCCAAAACACAGCAGATGAAGTTCTTCAGAAGCTGCAGCCTGTGGTGAAAGAATCCAGATCAGTTCAGTAAGTCACAATGATAATAATCACTGTACACTACACCAAATATGTTCACAATTATCATGGTACAAGCACAGCCCACTGGCAGCTGAGGTTTAAAAAAAAACAACTTCTGTTTCTCTGACTAGCTTTCAGTATCAGCTGCTTTGTCAGACAGAATCAAACATAAGGGTTTGTTTTATGCATATGAGGAAGATATTCAGGATTTGAGTGTAACTAGAAATTAAAACAAATTAAGAATTGAAGCTTCAGCCTACTGTCTAATGTTGAGATGTTTAGATCATTTGAATGTAACTAAAATGTTACAAATTTATTCCTTAACACATAATCTACAAGCACGCACAAATGACAGCATCTCAAATGAGGCAATAATGCATCTATGAAATTATAAGAAGCTGTGTTACAGCCATAACACAGATAAGGGAAAACACAAATTGATTGGTTTAGGCAAGTATTCATAGTAGCCTATTCATCAAAAGCTGGAAATGCTGCTTGGGCCTTATAAATATAGGCTATATGTCATATTCATACACTTTCAGACAAATCTTGAAATAAATGTTAAATGTACATATGACAGGGTTCATGCAGGCACAGCCTAATGAAAATCAATTCCAGCACCTATTTTTTTTTTCAAGACTGACATGCTATGTATTGAAGACCTGAAATGTATTCTCAGCAACCCATAAAACATTGCATAGGAATAGATACAAATAAAAACCATTAATAATAATATTTATTAATCATATATTAATAATATAATAAACCTGCACTAAGTGCTTGTGAAACCTTTTTTGTACTCAAGTAAAAATACTATTACACTGCTAAAATAACAACATTTTTAGTAAATAATGCTAATATTAGGTAAAAGTACAAAGTACTCTTTTAAAAAGTACTAGTTGGTTACTTTTGAAAAAAAAAATCAGATTTTCATTATGAAATCACTTTTTTTTAAGTGTAAACCTGATTTAATGGTTTGATTGCTTAAATCCCAAAGCTACATGTATAGGAATTTGCACTAAAAAAGGAAGTATGGCCGATTTTTTCTTTCATGACAATTAATCTTTTTCAATAGAACTGGTAAAACTACCAAATAATCTTTAAGGCCATAGAGACACTTTTTGCCCATTTTTAAAAAATTATATTTTTAAGCTTTGAAAGGTTAAATTAAAGTATATGGTAAAAAGATTTTTATTTAGACTTTTATTTACATATTTTACACTATTTTTCTTTACAATATGGCAAATTTGTTTCTTAAATAGCTGTACATCACATGTAGATTTTATTTTACACTTGATATTAATCTAAAATAGAAACTTAAAAAAAATACAAGTACACTGTCAGTAAAAAAATAAAACAAATGACTTCATTTTACTTGAGGTATTTGAAATATGACAACACTACACTTATCAAAGCAGTGCTTTAAGAGCCTTATTGTAAATGTTGATAAATAAACAATAAGTAACAATGGATTACTTTGACCTGTAATGCTTTAAGACAGATCAGATTACAGCTAAATGTGTAAATCACACAAATACCTCATCCAGAAACAATTCCAGCATAATTCTTTTGTCGTAAAGCAATAAAAAAGTTCCACCTTTGCTAAAAGTAAGTTTCACTTGACAACACAGCCAAATAAGAAGACCATTAGCATTGTCATCGATCATGCATCAATCTATTTTTAAATACTTGATAACTTTGAATACTTTTGACTAAATTTAGTCAAGGAATAAAGATAAATAATGCCTACTTTAATAGTGGAAAGATCGCGATTGTATTCTATCTGAGCACACACGCGATCCTGAGAGCACTTGCAGTTCATTTGAAAAAAGCATATTTAAGAGCTCGCATACCTGTTTTAGCGATTTGCGTACATGAATGCGCTCTCGTGTTAAAATAAAGCACTCGCCGCATTTGCAGAAATTAGTAATTGCGCAATACCTCCATTCCCGCGCCGCCATTCAGACTGTATAGAGGAGTGACAGCGAAACGTGTTTGTAGATCATCAAAAAGGCAGGAAATATGTCCGCGGTTTAATTACTCTGCTAGACATCTCTATAGTGAAAACATCCGAGAAGCATTGTTCCAACAAAACATTTGTTTTTTAAGTTGTTTTTTCTGTCTCTGCAACACAGAAAGCCTTTGTCCCGCCCTTACATTTTACGCAACTAGGCAAGGTCGACTGTGATTGGCTACTTTTCATGTCAGTCAAATCACGCTTCAGAATCAATTCTTAAACTTCGGAAACTGATTTTCAGCAGCTTATGACACAATGCACTAAAATAAACACTCTAAGCACAGCGTTGTGATCGTACGCTTCACAAAAAAGCCAATGCTGATCACATCGATCTTATATTACGCATTAAAGGATTAAAAGTGTTAATATTTCTTTCATTATTCAGCGATTCCTCCGCGTACCACTAGGAGGAAGCCCGCGTACCACAGTTTGAGAACCACTGCTTTAGATTTAAGTACAGCAGTTTTCTTTTTACTTTTTAAGAACAGCTTTTAAAAGCACGTTTTAACTAAAACTTTTCTTTTATCTGCAAGCACAGTTAATGTTCAGACTATTTAAAATGTTTAAAGTGACTGACATTAATACATATTCTTAATAATAGGAAGTAATCTGCATCGTTTTTAAACTGTGCACACCTGTAGCTGCTTAACTAGGCCTATGACGCTATTTTTTAATACTGGTTAAAAAAATAGCGTTGTAAGGTGGTACTTGGAGAGACGATTTTTTTCTAAGGTGGTACTTGGTGAAAAAAGTTTGAGAACCACTGTTATAGACAATACTAATTTTAAAATAATTTTACAATATCACAATCAATGCTAATTTTGACATTGAGTTACCTGTTGGCAAATGCTTTCTGAAGTGAATATCTTTGTTTGTTTTTATATATTGTCCTGCTTGGAGGAAACTAGTTTTGCAGCAAAGTCACATATTAGACATACAAACACTACATTAACTTCAAACATTCTTAACAAAAATTTAAAAACAGATTAAAAGAGGGAAGTTCAGACATATTACTAATTAATAATTAATCAAATTAATAGCCACTGTGTATAACTGCTATTTAAATTCCATTGCACAGATATGTCTTTTTTTATTATTTTATATTAGTATGTAATTGTCAATCTATGGGTGTATTATTACTATGGACAAAAATAATGTATTTTCATTTTAACTGAACCACAATATTGTTAGTGTATTTTAATAAATAAAGCAATGAAAAAATAAGAGAAAAGTCTGAAGATTGTCATTGTTCTCTACAGGTTGAGTGGTTGTAGCGTCACAGATAAAGGTTGTGCTGCTCTGGCTTTAGTTCTGAGATCAGACTCTTCACACCTGAGAGAACTGGATCTGTCTGAAAATAATCTAAGAGATTCAGGAGTGAAGCTGCTCTCTGATGGACTGAAGGATCCTCACTGTAAACTGGAGAAACTGAGGTAAATCATTTATCTGAATCACAGACACTGGGACTGAGAAATATTGACAACATTTATAGTTATTATTAGGAATACTCCAACCTATCGGCCAAAGATTGGCATCGGTCAGTAATCACTTTTCAAAATCACACTTCAATAAAACTTTTAAAAAATGCTTAGCATAAATATTTAATAATATCACTTCATGTAATACACTCATTGCTATAAACTGTACTTTATAGGCCTATTTCCTGTAAGTAAAGGGGTGATTAGATTTATATGTTTGCATGTTTCCAAATTGCATCTTTTTATATATGTACTTCCCCTTCTCAGGGTTAGTCCATATGTCTTCTTGCCACCATTTCTCCCTATTTGGGCAGCAGGTCGCCTCCCCATCGTCCTCCCTATCCGGCTTTAATTAGACTTTCTCAACGTACTGTCGTATTTAAAATTCCTTAAGAATTAACTAGGTGCTTTTTTACAACTCCCTCAAATATATAAATAAGCATTTAATGCTTCACAGGTAAGTAAGGTAAATTAGCGCCAGGGGGCACGTTGGAGGGCTAAGTCTCTAGTGATGATGGTGCGCTCACACTTAGAGCTTGGCAAACCTCTCACCATTGACGTGATAAGGATCAATCGCTGTGGCGTTTTCCATAGATTTCCCCATAGTGGAAGTTTTCACATAGCATTGATGTCCCCCTCCCCCTGGGGAATGAAACGGTTACTAAAGTAACCCCCGTTCCCTGAAGGGGGTAACGGGTATGCTATGTTCCTTCGCCTCAAGCGGTTGTGCCTTAGCTGACAGCTGTAGTTTGACTCTTCAGCTAGAAAGGTGACTCTGCGTTGCACGGCTGGCATCTTTATACAATGATAATTGTGATTGCTGCCAGCTGTGTATTCATTGGCTTTTTATTAGCCCATTTTTATACTCTTTCAGATGATTGGTTTATGATGAAATCCCCATAGTAGAAGTTTCCACATAGCATTTCTGTTCCCCACCTTGGGGAACGAGGGTTACTTTAGTAACTGTTTTGTTACCTTTATCATTTTTAACTTTATAATACTTTTTTTTTTTTTTTTTACATTTTCTTACTCCAAACATTTATATAAAAAAGCAATACACAACAATGTTTTTATTCATTCATTTTTTTTTTGGCTAAGTTCTTTTATTAATCTGGGGTTGCCACAGCGGAATGACTTTTCCAGCATATGTTTTCTACAGCGGATGCCTTTACAGCTGCAATCCATCACTGGGAAACACCCACACACCCACACAGTATACAAACAATTTAGCTTAGCCAATTCCCCTATAGCGCATGTGTTTTGACTGTGGAGGAAACCGGAGCATTCGAAGATAACCCACACCAACATGGAGAGAACAGGCAAACTCTACACAGAAATTCCAACTGACCCAGCCGAGGCTCGAACCAGTGACCTTCTTGCTGTGAGACGTGATCGTTACCCACTGCGCCACAGTGCTGCCCACAATATTTTTAATAACTGATAAAGTATCATGAGAATACCATATAGAGTATTAAGTGTTTAGCATTTAATCACATCAAGAAAATTTGATACAATCAGAAGCCTACTAATTTATTAATCATGGATGATGTTTATTTTTTTAGTTAATGTTTAATAGTTTGTTAAAATCAATCAGTATACCAAAATGTTGAAGTGACCTTTTTGCAGTTTACGTCAGTTTTGTGATAATATTGTATATAGCGATTTAAAGATGAGCATTTAACCACAAAATGGAATTTTAATACCATCAGAAGCCTAGTCAGATAGTTACCCTCATTTACACTGCTGGATGGAGACAGAATGTACATCATCTCATTTATTACACAACTAGTAAATAATTATAAAAAAAAAACAACACATTGATTTCATTGTAAATCATATTGGAATTTTGTGATTAAAAAATAGGATTCTAATATTTATGTCCATGAATTAAACCTCAAGCTTCATCTTTAAATGGTTCAGAAGCTCAGACTGAAGCTGTTAATGATGTTGTATATCAAGTCTGTCTTTCTGATTGTGAGGATTCTGCCTCTCTACATCCTGAACTGCGAAAATGAAGTGTAATTGTTCTCTACAGGTTGAGTGATTGTGGAGTCACAGATGAAGGTTGTGCTGCTCTGGCTTCAGCTCTGAGATCAAACTCTACACACCTGACTGAACTGGATCTGTCTCTGAATAATCTAGAAGACTCAGGAGTGAAGCTGCTCTCTGATGGACTAAAGGATCCTCACTGTAAACTGGAGATACTGAGGTAAATCATTTATTAAACACAGACATAATTTAAAGTTATTATGTTTATGTCAAGAGTTTATGATCTACTGCTGGGTATTTTCCTTAAAGATCTCATAAAATTGAAATTAAGTTTTTTAATTGTTAGTATCATTATTGTTAGTTTTAAAGATATCCATAATTTAGTGTGCTCAAAACAGTGACAAAATTCGCATTTAGAAGATTTAAAACTGATAAAACCATCTAAAGCTTGCAGTTTGCCACTTCTACCTAAATAGATCAACGGATTTATTCAAGTCAACTCACACTACAGTTTCTCATCAAATCATGCCAATCAAACACTCTGTAGTATCTGACATGCCCCGCCCCCTTTAAAATGCTCATTTCTCATTTGCTTTTCATTTGTGAAGAGAGTGAAAAAACTATTGACTGTTTTTAAAAAGGATGAGGAGCTACGCTATGTCCCACCTTCTCTTCGTGTTTGGGTTGAGATTACGTCAAGCATTAAAAAAAAAGTTTCAAAGCACTTCACCAAACCTTTAAATGCCTCGCCTGACACAGTTGAGTTTCTGCATCCATTGAGGATGTTGTGAAGATAATAAGCTGTTTTGCCAACACATGATTTGTAAGTTTTCTGCTGAACATGATTCCTACACTTCCAGATGTTTTTATCCTTCAGAGACGAGGAGTCTAGACATGTTGAATAGTGTTTTTCTGTCCTTTATTACAGTCAATAATCAAATACTGAGATATTGATTGAAAATGCTCTGACTAATAATAGGACTGTTGTTTCTTAACTCTGAACAATAAGGCTCCATTTGTTAACATTAGTTAATCTAACATCATGATAAAAACTGCAAATTTATTAGTCTTGGGTGATGTTCATTTTTTAGTTAATGTTTAATAGTTTGTTAAAATCAAACAATATACCAAAATGTTTTTTATACGTGATAAAGTTTACATCAGTATCTTGATAATATTGTATATAGCGATTAAAGATGAGCATTTAACCACAAAAAGGAAATTTGATACCATCAGAAGCCTAGTCAGATAGTTACCCTCATTTACACTGCTGGATGGAGACAGAATGTACATCATCTCATTTATTACACAACTAGTTACCTTATAATAATTAAACAAATAATGCCAAATTGATTTCATTGTAAATAATTTTGGAATTTTGTGATTCTGACATTTAATAAAAAAGATTCTGATATGTTTATGCCATTGAACTGAACCTTATCTTCAAATAGTTCTGAAGCTCAATCTGGAGCTGTCAATGATGTTGTGCTTCAAGTCTGTCTTTCTGGTTTCTGCTTTCTGCTTCTCTGAGCTGTAGATCCTGAACTGAGGAGTGTAATTGTTCTCTACAGGTTGAGTGATTGTGGAGTCACAGTTGAAGGTTGTGCTGATCTGGCTTCAGCTCTGAGATCAAACTCTACACACCTGAGAGAACTGGATCTGACTTTGAATAATCTAGAAGACTCTGGTGTGAATCTGCTCTCTGCTGGACTGAAGGATCCTCACTGTAAACTGGAGAAACTGAGGTAAATCATTTATCTGAATCACAGACACTAGGACTCATAAAGGAATATTAACATAATTTATAGTTGTATCGATGACAAGAGTTTATCTGTATTAAAAATACAGCAACAAGCAGCGCGGCGCGTCTTCTCCGGCGTGAGCATCGAGGAGAGTTGAAATCAATTCAACTTTATGGTAATGAGCTATGACGCGGTTCGGCGGCAAGCAATCAGAATGAAGACGTCCACTTGTTTCCCAAGGGTTTGATGATTGCGGTCGCCGGATTTCCAATTATTTTACAATGTTTTCTTACAGGAGCATGCATTAAATAAGTTACTGGCGAATTACTGATGTTCATTACTGCTATATATATTTATCTTAAAAAAGCGGGAATCTCACGCGACCTGACAGTAGAAAAAAGTATAGCTGCTTCAGGATATTTCTGACATATGGACACATATTGGATAAATAGAGCAAAGCCACAGCACACGCAACTTGATCTTCCATTGTTAAATGAATTTGATAAGAAGTGCGCAACATTTTCACACTAGAAACATGTTTTATGCAGGAATGTAACTGATATGCTGCAACGGCTCCTTTAAATACGAGATCAATGTAGCGAGTTTTGACGCTCTCGCCGCCGGAGCTGAAGGCAGACAGCGTTGTCGCCAGGGCGGCCAGAGCGACCTTGGACGCTCTCGCCGCTTTTGGTGAGAATGTACGGTTATACTGTTCCTATGGTTTACGTACAGTTTTTTATGTGTTTATATTTTTATTTAGTTTTTTAGGGCAACCATATCTCCAGGAGAAAATGAGCTTGACATGTTTACTGCTACAATATATTTAAAATGTTTCTTAATATAAAATATTTTGTGTTCAAAAAAGTTGTTGTTACCCAGACATTTAAAAAGAACATTTTTTAGAGCAGTAATCGGGATATTGTGAAACTTCATTCATTCATTAATTTTCTTGTCAGCTTAGTCTCTTTATTAATTGGGGGTCACCCCTGCGGAATGAACTGCCAACTTATCCAGTATGTTTTTACGCAGCAGAAGCCCATCACTGGGAAACATCCACACACACTCATTCACACACATACACTACAAACAATTTAGCCTACCCAATTAACCTGTACCGCATGTTTTTGGAATTGTGGGGTAAACCGGAGTGCTCGAAGGAAACCCACACCAACACGGGGAGAACATGCAAACTTCACACAGAAATGCCAACTGAATCAGCCAGGGCTTGAACCAGTGACCTTCTTGCTGTAAGGCGAACGTGCTACCCACTACACCACCGTGCAGCACTACCGTTTAACTTTGATAATTTTATCCTAGGTTTTTATACTGTTGGAATCTTATACCGTATATATAATAATAAAAGCTTCAGCATTTAATCACAAGAAAATTTGATACAATCAGAAGCCTAGTCAGATAGCTGCCCTAATTAACACTGCTGGATGGAGACAGAGTGTACATCATCTCAATTATTACATGACTACTTACTAAATGAATGATACAAATATAACACGTTGATTTCATTGTGAATTATATTGTAATTTTATGATTCACATATTTTAAAAAAAGATTTTTTTATTCTTATGCCTTTGAACTGAACCTCTTCAAGCTCATCTTCAAGCGGTTCTGAAGCTCAGACTGAAGCTGTTAATGATGTTGTATATCAAGTCTGTCTTTCTGATTGTGAGGATTCTGCCTCTGTACATCCTGAACTGCGAAAATGAAGTGTAATTGTTCTCTACAGGTTGAGTGATTGTGGATTCACAGATGAAGGTTGTGCAGATCTGGCTTCAGCTCTGAGATCAAACTCTACACACCTGACTGAACTGGATCTGTCACTAAATAATTTTGGAGACTCTGGAGTGAAGCTGCTCTCTGATGGACTGAAGGATCCTCACTGTAAATTGGAGAAACTGAGGTAAATCATTTATCAAATACAGACATTCGGACTGAGACATATTGACAAAAAATATAGTTTTAGTTTTGTGTAGGATTATTTGTAGATTTATCCTCAATGATGTCTCACACTCAACACAGGTGAGTCTTGTTATTTCTTACAGATCCTAAATAATATTAAGCTGAATTGCAAACACATGTCTTGTGGGTTTTCTGCTGAGCATGGTTCCTCACTTCTAGATGTTTTTATCCTTCAGAGACGAGGAGTCTAAAAATGTCCAAATAGTGTTTCTGTCAGTTAATCTACATAATTATCTTTCTTTCCATGCCTTAGCATGTCTATAATGCATATGAATAATTTATTATTAGACAGTGAAGTGTAAATGTCAGGTTTCAGTTCAGAGGATTTTCTGTTGGTTAACAAAGGAAGGTTGTCTTAATGTAATTGTAATGTTTCATGTGTGTTGGGAAAATGTATCAGGAAAATTGTTACCAACAAAATTAATTTTGGGTTAGTAAAAACTGAACCTTCCAAGAATGTTCATATATAATTAATTAAAATAATTGGAGGACAATATGACCTTGACCTAGAAGTGGACTTCTTTTACCCTGTACTCTCTCACAGATACTGATATTGGGTGGAGGAACATAAAATCCAACTTAGATTAAAGAAATGTTGGGATTTACATGTCACAGGCAAGATACAGATAAAAGTTTCTCCATCACAGTCTGTTTGAACAAAGTATACTATACTTTTGTGTTTTGTGGAAAAAGAAGAGAGAGAAATATGCAGATCAAGTGCATCACATTTACATCAGCCAGTAGAAAGCTGTTTGCTCTCTAATGTGTAAAGAGGTTTGGTGTCTGAAACTTTGGACTGGTTTCCATCTATACAGGGTGTGTGTGCTGTTCTAGAGTTCATATTTGACACTGTATTTTGACTACAGGTCATGTTTAAAGGAAACGCAAAAGGTATCCGCATACTGCTGAATGTACAAAATATTGAGGCTAAATATTAAGTGCACTTGAATTTCTCTCTTCTTTGGACTGTGTGCTCTAACAGAGAGGCGAATTTAATAACTACCATGACTTCAATTAAGTCTACTGTAAGAGAGAGGAACCGTCCCTCTTACAGGTTTAAATAAACCGACAATCTAATGTAGTCTGTCAGAGATTATTCATTCCTTAATTACTTTTAAATGCTGATTGTACAAGTGTAATATATAATGCCTGACATTATATTAGCACTCATTTTAACATTTTAATATTATCATTCTTATGTTTCTGTATATCATATTGTGGTTAATTAGTGTAAACCTCGTTTTATAACAGTAAAATTCAATGTTCTTTTATGGAAAACTGTTTTTTAATGAAAAATCAATTCATGACATTTCCAATTCATACATTCTCAGTCATATGTAAATAAACTCGTCAAGCAGCATGAAGCAGCTCTGGACTTCAGATTTGATGGTGTTGTAGATCCTGAACTGAAAGACTGAGGAGTGTAATTGTTCTCTACAGGTTGAGTTATTGTAGAGTCAGAGCTGAAGGTGGTGTTGCTCTGGCTTCAGCTCTGAGATCAAACCCTGAACACCTGAGAGAACTGGATCTGTCTGAAAATAAACTAGGAAATTCAGGAGTGAAGATGCTGTCTGAACTGAAGAATGATTCACGTTATAAACTGGACACACTTAAGTGAGTATTGATCAAGTGTATTCTGAATTAATGCTGATTTAGAGTTTAGTTGTTGTTTTTAAGTTGTAATGGTTAATTATATATTATACACATTTAAAAATGTTTATTTTGCTCATAGTATTTACTTTGATCTGTGGGTAAATTAATTATATTTTTCTTTCAGTTGCACAGTGTTTCCAAATAATGGAGAGATTTTAGATAGTTTCTACTATTACTTTAACACTATTAAGTATGTGTTGGAAATTGTTTATTGCCCTCTGTTGGATGTTGCTAAATTTGCCATCAAAAATGAACAGCAGATTTTTAATCAAGAACATTATGGTTCACTTGATTTACTGCATCTAATCATAAAAGGGAAAATATAAACAGACCAGTGATTCCAATGACGTGGATCACAAAGATTTTATTTTGGCATTATTTGTGATAGAGTAAATATAATAACTGTAGTAAAGCAGCAAGTAGTTTCAGCTCTAAAGTGGATAATCCAGGAGTTTCACACATCTAATCGTCTGTTTTACTTGTAGGTTTTAGGTTTTCTGGCTGTCTCTGGATCAGCTAATGGTGAATAAAGAGTCACGTCAGTCACATTCAACAGAACTGACAGACACAAACCCACAGTGGTCATCACACACACATGATCCAGTGCTTAAATCAAGAGTTTTCTTATTCTTGTATTCATAGTAGACATTATATACAAAATTAAGTTTAAATAAAGTACGTTTTACTGCAGTAATTGTAGTAGCTATTCATCACTGACTGTTTAAGGCAATATGTGTATCTGCTGTTAAAAAGATTTCAGCTGAACATGACAAGACATTTGTGTAAAGAGTTATTTTTGATTCATTGACAGGAATAAGTGTTGAATAAGTGTCATTTCTGGATATCTGTAATCTGATCCAGCACAGAAGAGCCGCTGTAATTGTTTGTCTGCAGTTCCAGAAGCTTCTGTATGTAGTTTTGAGGCAAACCGTTCTGTTGAGCCCCTAAACACACAACCTAGATGGAGAAGCAGACCAGACAAACATTAATAAGACACTCTTCAATCATACTTTACATTAGAGTTGTGTAAATCAGATATTTATGTTGTAATATATTGTATATAATGTAGATTAATACATATCTAAACACAAGATTCACTTTAAGACGCTGGTTAATGTCTGATGAGTGGTAAACTCTACCTTTTTATACTGTGGTGAAGGTGAACAGGGTGTGAAGTTGTTCATCTTGTACGTCCGGCAGTAAAGCGGCTCCTCTTTTGTTTCCACTTTGACCTGTAATGGACTGTAGACTCCTTCATCAACCTGTTCCTGTCTGAAACACATGCAGGAGGAGTAATATAAGACAAACACAGTGATTTTACTCCTGAGGAGAACATCTTGAACATATAGAGGGTTATAACTGTGATGGACACTGTATTGACTGCATCATCAGTATCTGCCTGTATTTGTATAGGGTTTCTAGTACCTGGCCTTTTGAGTTATTTTTGGTAAACTGATTTAGCTGATGATGGATGATTTGTCCTACAATTTAAAAACTATACAATTATATCAACAACAAAAGTATTAGACTGTTAATTCTTTCTCATTTGTAGATGTAATATAAAATATTTGCAATAAACCAGTGAACAACATACTGTAAAAATAGCCAGAAATAGAAATGACCTGTATGTTTGGTGTAAACACATAAAACACAGTTATGCAGATTTGTAATTATTGTTTTTTTAATGTAGCCTTAATCAATCAATAAACACCATCTGTTAATTAAGAACAATTGTTCATCATGATTCACATTTAACAAGCTTGATTTAGTGGATTGTCCCAGTATCAGCTGAGCTCACCTGTCTAAAGAGGGCAGGTTTTGCTGGTCAATCCTCCACACGACCCCCCACACCTCGTCTCCTTCACTGGCCTGTATTGTGGCCACTCCACCATGCCAAGCACAGTTAGTGTTGTCGCCCGAGAGACCAAAATCCAGCCTGTAGCCCTGAGACACACAGCATCCCTTATGATTATCATATTCATATACTGAAGTTAGAGTGTACAGTGCATTCAACAGGACTTTATGGAAAGGCTTGGAGCGTAAAAAAGCGTAACAAATACATTTAAAATAAACAACGTATTAAAACAAATAGATAGCACATCCCAAATGGAAAAATACTATAGTAATTTATAGTAAATACTGTAGTGTTTTTGAACCATACTATAGTAAAGTGCTTGAATTAGTCTGTTTTGATTTTGTAGTTAGTAACCAGGGTTCCCACTCTTTCATAAACAGCTGATTCAAGGACTTTTAGCACCATGAATTTCAAATCGAGCCCCTCTGTGATTCACACCCCTGGCGTATGTAGCGCCATGAGAGTCCTAACTGTACTTGACATTTCACTTGCACTTAATATTCAGATTAAAATGTCAGAGTGATGATTTCCGAGTGTCATTTTCAAAAAAAAAAAAAATGTTGAGTTCAAAATTATCAATATTTAAATGCAGTTTCTGAAATATTAATAAAATATGCATTGTCATATTTCTTATACAAGATTTTAATTTAAGATCTTAAAATTAACAGTTTCTATTTTTTCATTCTGTTTTTGACAGCAGCATGACATTTGTTGAAAAAAAAAAAAATCAAAAACAGGATTTGTTTGTTTTAAGCACTTTCAGGCCTTGAATCCATCTGAAATTCAAGTATTTTCAAGAAGCATTGGAACCCTGGGTAACACAACTACACTAGTATATGGTATATTAGTAATAATAAGGTAAACATAGTAGGCTACTATAAACAAATGACCCAATACTTAAGGTTTTTTGAACAACTATGAGGTATTATACTACAATACACCACAGTTTAATGCAGTAAAATCTAAAGTATACCACAGTACTTATTACAGTTTATCAGTTCACAATACCTAGTAGTACAGTAGGCTGTAGTATTAATTAAGTGTTGTAAATAATATATACAGTATAATACACTTTACTATAGTATGGTTCTAAAATACTAGTATTTGTTATAAAGCACTGTATTTTTGATGTGGGATAGTGTAGTGATAACCATTGTAAATATAAAGTAGACTAGATGATTTACACTCTTCTATTGAGTTATTTGTGCTCGTCTCTGATTGCGTTTGTTTACCTGTATTCTGCCGACGCAGTGAAACACGGCTGATGGGTTTTTCAGCTGGAGTCTCTCCTTCAGTAAATTACTGCCATAAGCAAAATACATAAAATAGTCACTGGATGACATTTTCCCTAATGATAGACTTGAAAAAACTGACTTGAGGGCTTTTACAGCTTTACTTCCTGTGGTTTATTTGACCAGTGCGGTCCGACTCAATGAGCAATGATTCTTTGAACAGACTCTCTCAAATGATTTTGTTTTAACCATGATGAGGAACCGTTAAAGGGAATTAATTTTATTTACAATAATTCCAAAGGAAAATACAAAAACATTAACGTAGGGGTTAAGTTTATTAAGACGCGAACAAAGACGCATTAAAAATTATTTAATCAGTTTATTCAAATGAACCGATTCACAAAGCAGGACTACTGACCCGTGCCACCACAACTTTCAAAATAAAAGTCTACTGTTGGGTACAAAAAATAACCTGTTCGTTTTATTTAAAAAATATCCAGCAAGACCTTTGACTTACATAGTTTCTGCATTATTAAAAATAGCTTGCAGCCATAAAAATTAGAAATTGTAATATTTTAAAACGCATGTCAAATCCAGATCCTGCAGTGCAGCAGTTCAGTTCCAGCCTCGCTTCAATACACTTACCTGTAGGTTTCAAACAAGTCTAAAGGAATCAAGTTGTTTAATTAGGTGTGTTTAATTAGGGTTAAAGCTAAACTGTGCAGAGCTGTGGCTCTCCAGGAAGTTAGTTTGACAACTCTATTTTAATATTACCTTTTATTCTGTCATAACCTGTAAAGGCAGTGTACATGGCAGAGATGTAGCACTTTGCTAAACCTTATCAAATTTACTCTAAACACATTTTTGTTTTTAAATTTGACCAACACTGGCTTTTATATCTTAAAAAGGAAAAATCCTGCACACAACTCAAATTCAATCAATCAGTTTTTATTGGTAAGAATGTAGAAAAATAACCAGACACCCTTGCAGAATCATCCCTCTGCCTCATATGATCAGCACAAAACAAAAGACTCGAAACAGTTGTCAAAAGAACAGAATTTAATGTACAAAACGCAAAATATCTCCTATACGAAGAACAAAAAATGCTGTACAACGCGCACAAAAGTACAGTGGCTTGAGATCTTCATCTCCTCGGCCCACCGCGGCCCCGTCCTCTTCCTCGGCCACGACCACGTCCTCTTCCTCGACCACGGCCAGCCACTGCAGGATGAAGATGGTAAGAAGTTATACATCATCACAAACAAGCAATCCATCTGTGTGTTGATGCTCGGTGTATTTTGCAGCACTCACCAGCTTCTCTCTTCTTGGACTTGACTTTGGGCTCGATGTCCACCAGCAGCGTGTCCAGAGGAAGACTGTCCGGCAGGATAAAGTAGCGGATGTTGTTTCCTCGGATGCTGAGTGACTCCAGCTGAGTGGGCTCTCTGTTTTTCAGGGTCATCTTCACAGCTTTGAGGTGTGTGTTCATGCTGACGTCCACACCTGTGCAGAGGATTCACAGAGCAAACCATTATGGGTTGATTTAAGCATCTTTTATATGGAGCCGTTTCACACTTCCAGGTTTCTCAGCAGCAGAAGTCAGAGCGCAGTGAATGCAGGAGTATAACAAATATTTTTTACAATTCTATTCGCTGAAATAATAACAGAAAAACTTAATGATGGTTTCAAAGACTTTCAGAAAAAGGAAAAAAATAAATAAACAGTGTGAGACTGATAACGGCAGCCAGAAGAGAGAACAACGTCAAATTTACAGTCCCACCTCTGTATACTCTAATGCAATTTTGATTGCAAGATCATATGACACACACACATAAATACATATAAATGTTGATTATTTTTCTTAATCTAAATATTTCAAGAACTTAAGATGCTAATGACTAGAGCAGCACAATAAATCGAAAAAAGATTGCGATCTCGATTCGAGCCCCTAGACCAGGGGTGTCAAACTCAATTCCTGGAGGGCCGAAGCCCTGCACAGTTTAGTTCCAACCCTGCTCCAACACACTTACCTGTAGGTTTCAAACAAGCCTGAAGCACTCAATTAGTTTGATCAGGTGTGTTTAATTAGGGTTGGAACTAAACTGTGCAGAGCTGCGGCCCTTTTAGAACTGAGTTTGACACCTGTGCCCTAGACGATCTTAATTCAGGATTTATGATTGTCAATCATATTTTCAAGTTCAGGTGAGAAAAGGCGGCTGCACAGGTCTACACATTGTTTTACATACGTTGTTCAGCAATGTGGACACCATTGGTGTTGAAATAAAGTTAAAAGAGTCACATACTGTATTTATAAGGTATAATTCACCCCAAAATGTTATTTCTGTCAGCCGGGATATCACATGTGACATGAGCTGCTGACCGTAAGCTGTTAACACAGAGAGGGCGGGCGCATGCCTGTGAATGAAGTCTACTTTAGCGAACAGAATCTGCATAGGCTGTGAATAAAAGGTAATAAAGTTGTAAATAACGTTAAGTTTGTGAAACAGTGATTGCTTGAGAGCCGCGCGGGAGGTATGAAACGCACTTAGCAGTGAAAATGAACCTGTAAGCGTGCACAACACTTGAATAATCATATGGTATAATGGAGTAATGATTAGACTACAAGCATTTGATATGCTTTTTTCTTTCTTAGCGAACAGTGTTGTGCATGAGAATAAACAGTAGACCTACATATTAATATAGTTTTTTTTACTATATATTTGAGAAATAACAATAATAATAGCCCACTAATATTAACCTTTATTTTAGATCTACAGAATCGTGATTTTGATTTCAAGCAAAAATAAAAATTTAAAAATTGCAATTCTCATTACAGTCAGAATCGTGCAGCTCTACTGATGACTATTAAACGCATCATAACAGTCCTGTGAAAAGGGTCCATTGCGTGTTTAACAATTTTAAAAGGAATAGTCAACTTCTTTTTTTAAAGAAACAGTCTCATTTTACAACTCCTTAGAGAGTTAAACAGGCGAGTTTTCCCATTTATGAATCCGTTTAGCTGATTTCTGGGTCTGGTGAGAGCACTTTTAGCTTAGCATAAATCATTGAATCAGATTAGACCATTAGCATCTCACTTGATTCTTCTGTAGTTACATTGTGTATTACAACTAGCAAGAAATGAAAAGTTGCTATGATCTATATCAGGGGTTCCCAAACTTTTTAACTCGTGACCCCCAAAATAACAATTTTAGTAACTCACAACCCCACTATCCTCTGAGGTGGTTATAAGTAGGGCCAGATGGAATCTGCGGGCGTTTTTTGCTATTTCTGCGGAGAGTTTTGGTAAAGATCTGCGGAATTATTTTGGGAGTATCATAACTAAAACCTTAATATATGACATAAAAAAAAATATCTTTATATAATTTTTATTTAATGTTTAAAATGCTAATCCAATTAGATTCACATTATTTGGTAAACAAAGCAAGTCTCTCATATAATATCTCTACTAAAAGACAGAAAATATTACGGTACAAACTGCATTGTACATAAGTCAGACGAACATTTTCATATTAGTCAATAATATTACTGAAATAAATGTAAAAACTGAATTAATATAGATTTACACACATTTACTCAAGTAAATAAACAGAATTAATGATGGGCTAAACATCAGCGGAATTCAGCTCGCGCAAAATAAGTGTGGGCCTAGTAATAAGCATACAAACACTGTACACAATAATGCACACACACAAACCAATAGCAACTATATAAACAAGCTTATTGACAACACAACAAAAGTGCAGCAGTTTATCAACCATATCATTTTATAGTCACTATTCATTTGTTTAATTTAATATTAACCTCACTTAATGAGAATTGTGAAATATATACAGCACAAGTCTATTCTTGATTTAATTTCGGAGACCGCCACTTGGAGATCGTCCTCTATGTTCAGTCGTGGCCTTTATTTTTAATGTACAGGAGTGCTGTAAATGTGTCAAAGTTTAACATTGAGCCGTAAAATAAATCTGCTGCAACTAACACTATTGCTGTGTTATTAATCTAGCGTAATCACTCAAGGAGTCGTAATCCAATGGAAAAATAATGTAAACGCTGCTGTCTGTTTATGTACATGTTTTTGTTTTAAATGTAACTATTAAACACTATCTTCTGCAGGTTATGGATAAAATATGGTAATTTTAATAATTTATTTATATGTATATATTGGAAATCACCAAGCAACCCCCCCTCAAGGACTCACGACCTCCCAGGAGGTCCCGACTCCCACTTTGGGAATCACTGGTCTAAAAATTGAAAATCTCCACAAGTAAAGATGTAAATTTTCACACAATACCATGATCTATTGTTTTTCTGCTCACATGATTATTATAATACGAGTCTGACTCAGTGGCATTAATTCATCAACAAAGTATAACAAGTTTTCTAATTATTATTATTAGCACAATATAGGGCATATACAATGAGTCTTTTTAATTCAAGTTTATTTGTATAGCGCTTTTTACAATGACTAGTGTTTCAAAGCAGCTTTATAAAAGGTGCACAGTATTGCATAACAATCCAATTAAGTCAAGTCATTTTCAGCTAAAAGGTTAAATGCATTTTTTCCGGGAGCTGACAGATGTAATTGAGGTAAAGTTGTTTTTATATTCACACATTCAGACTTAATATAATTTCAGAAAAGTATTATTTGCAAATACTAAATAGGGGAATCATATTATCACCAAATGACTATAAAGCACAATATTGTTTACGGTCTAATATTGTTTTGAAGTCATTCTTATATGTGATTTCAGATCAAATATTCAAAGCAGCGTGGTAAAAAATAATGAATCTGTATTCACCTTTTTAAATACTGCTTTGCTATTTCATAGAACGCCAAAGTCTAAACCTGCTAATATAAAACCAACTTCACCTCAATATAAGCACATTTATTGGCCACCTATGAGATGTAATGCATCAGATTCAAAGAGAAAATGCATAATATGACCTCATTTAATGAAACAGGCACATAGCAGACAGTTTATAAATGTGATTATGGTGCATTACTTAAAATAATAATTACCTGTAATTGTGCCATGGACCTGTGTGCCATTCTTCAGCTCAATCGTGACGGTTTCATGGCTCAATTTCATCAAAAACCTGCAGGTCACAATCATAAAAACAATGATAAACAATTATAATAACATAACGTCTAATATCTACATATAAAGCATTTTGTCAATATGATTATATAAAGTATTTACAGCTTACTAATGATAATAAACTGATAACTATATTTAAAACAAATGATAAACTATATATCCAATAATCTTTAGACTTCCTAACTACACACTATAGTGTCTATTAACATAATTATATGATTATATACAGCTAGCATATTTAGAAACTAGTAAATAAATGTAGCTAACTTAGCATTAACAGTTATTGTTTCTGTTTATGTATTTGTTGCATTTAAGACCCCGCATGATCAAACTACCACCAAAAAACGCACAATGTATTAATAATCTAAGACTAAACCCGCTTATTACATAGTTTAAAACACGTATGTGCTTAAAACAAATGAGTAAAACGTTCAAACAAACGCTCGCCCATTCATTCATTCCCGCCTGATGAAGCTAACGGCTAACTAGCAGCTACACACAATCCGGCTCCATCTATTAAAATACATCGCGCATCCGCAAAGTTTCTTTGTGTATTTTACTTGTATGACAGCTGTAGATGTTTATTACCTGACGAGTTTCATGATGGCGGTGGACTTTGAGAGAAAATCCTCCACCTAGATGAGAAAAAATTGTAGCGCAAAACGAATGTAGGACGCTACTGGAGAGATGGTACAATCACTTCCTGGGTGAAAGGGAAACAGAATTCTGAGGACAGAAGGGTTGCCATTACTCAACAAAATCACCGGAATATTTTTACACGCTGGTAATTTCATTTATAAGCATGTTATAAACATACAAAAGCGAATTTAAAATTTTAAATGTTGCTACAACAATTTTTATTATGATAATAGCTTAAAAGTATTTTTCAATTTCGATATCTCATGGTACATAGGTTAATAAAAATACACTTTTAATTAACCAAAACAACAATAATTTAATCTCACAGTAAATAGTTTCCTTAAAGCATTCTTTTAAAAAACCAAAACAGCAATATTAATCATATTTAAGGCTTCAATTGCGTTTTAAGATAATAAAAGTATAATACAGATTTAAATTTTGACACTTTTTTTTCATAAATGTTTAAATCTTTTCCATATCACAGCGCAGCTACAAAATATGATTTATTTTAGACTATGAATAAAAATATACTATAATAAAATATTAACTTTATTCTGTTTTTTTCTTTGTAATTATATTTTCTTAATTCAAAAAAATAGCATTCAACATCCACCGGAATAGATTTAGTTTTAACGTATCTGGCAACCCCACAGTGACGATACAGTAAATAGGTTAATAAAAACACACTTTTATTAAACCAAAACAGCAATAATACCCATATTTAAGGCTTTACTTGTGTTTTAAGATAATAAAAGTATAATACAGCTTTAAATTTAGACAATTTTTCATGTAGTGTCATTTTCATATCAAAGTGAAGCTCCAAAATACTGTTTATTGTAGATAATGAATAAATAAGATACTATAATATAATGAAAGCTTTATTCTGTCTTTACTCTATTTATATTTTCCCAGTTTAAAAAAAAAGCTGCATTTAACAACCACAGGAATAGATTTATTTTTAACGTATCTGGCAACCCTACAGTGACAATATCTCACGGTAAAGGTAAATAGGTTAATATAAACATACTTTTAATTAACCAAAACAGCAATAATAATCAAATTTAAAGTTTTAGATGCGTTTTAAGATAATAAAAGTATAATACAACTTTAAATTTAAACAATTTTTACGTATTTTTTATACTACAGTGAATCTCTAAAATACTATTTATTTTAGATAATGAATAAATAATATACTATAATATAATATAAAGTTTCTTCTGTCTTTGTAATTATATTTTCTCTATTAAAAATAACATTCATGCACAGTTGTGGATTCAATTTTAAAATATCTGGCAACCCCGTGGCGATATCTCAAGTAAAGGTAAATAAATTAATAAAAACATACTTTAATTAACAGAAACAGCAATAATAGTCATATTTAAGCTTTAATTGGGTTTCGAGATAATATAAGTATAATACAGCTTTAAATTCAGACACTTTTTTCACGTAGCAAAAGATTTAATTTAACGAATCTGGCAACCCCGCGGCAGGAAGTGAATCCCGGAAGTGAGCGCTCATTGAAATATCACGTCAAAAGTGGATCGAGGGATTAAAACACAGAAATCAAACCCTCGCTTTTCATCATGAGAAATCCCCGAGGGTTTATACCGAATAAATGATTAAACTAGCATAAAGCAGCGCTTCAGACCGCGGGAGAGCGATGTTGTGAGCGATGTCGCGGTGTGTATTTGGAGTGACGTGTGTTAGTGAGTGACAGCTCATCCTCTTCCTCGTCCTTTTCTTCATCTCCAGCATGTCATTGAGCATGTTATTATTGTCGGCGGGATCTGCGTGCAGTTAAGATGTTTCCGAAGACCTCGTTCACCAGCCTGATAGTGGGGGTGTTCCTGCTGTATGTGCTGCACACATGCTGGGTGATGTACGGCATCGTTTACACCAAACCCTGCGAGAAACGCCGAGCCGAAAGCTGCATCTCTCCATACCTGGCCGCTAAACCCAGACTGCAGGTCAGAAACTAATTTATACAAGCGTTATTTAATGAACAGTGCATGTTGAATCAGGCCTGTGCAGCTCTTCTGGGACTGCCACATTGCTGCATGCATGGATTGACACTTGCTTACTTAATGATAGATAGATAGATAGATAGATAGATAGATAGATAGATAGATAGATAGATAGATAGAATAACAGATAGAATACCAGATAGATAGATATAATATTAGATAGATAGATAGATAGATAGATAGATAGATAGATAGATAGATAGATAGATAGAATAACAGATAGATAGATATAATATTAGATAGATATAATATTAGATAGATAGATAGATAGATAGATAGATAGATAGATAGATAGATAGATAGAATAACAGATAGATAGATATAATATTAGATAGATAGATATAATATTAGATAGATAGATAGATAGATAGATAGATAGATAGATAGATAGATAGATAGATAGAATAACAGATAGATAGATAGATAGATAGATAGATAGATAGATAGATAGATAGATAGATAGATAGATAGAATAACAGATAGATAGATATAATATTAGATAGATAGATATAATATTAGATAGATAGATAGATAGATAGATAGATAGATAGATAGATAGATAGATAGATCGAATAACAGATAGATAGATATGATAGATAGATAGATAGATAGATAGATAGATAGAATAACAGATAGATAGATATAATATTAGATAGATAGATAGATAGATAGATAGATAGATAGATAGATAGATAGATAGATAGATAGATAGATAGATAGAATAACAGATAGATAGATATAATATTAGATAGATAGATAGATAGATAGATAGATAGATAGATAGATAGATAGATAGATAGATAGATAGATAGATAGAATAACAGATAGATAGATATAATATTAGATAGATAGATAGATAGATAGATAGATAGATAGATAGATAGATAGATAGAATAACAGATAGATAGATAGATAGATAGATAGATAGATAGATAGATAGATAGATAGATAGAATAACAGATAGATAGATATAATATTAGATAGATAGATAGATAGATAGATAGATAGATAGATAGAATAACAGATAGAATACCAGATAGATAGATATAATATTAGATAGATAGATAGATAGATAGAATAACAGATAGATAGATAGATAGATAGATAGATAGATAGATAGATAGATAGATAGATAGATAGATAGAATAACAGATAGATAGATATAATATTAGATAGATAGATAGATAGATAGATAGAATAACAGATAGAATACCAGATAGATAGATATAATATTAGATAGATAGATAGATAGAATAACAGATAGAATACCAGATAGATAGATATAATATTAGATAGATAGATAGATAGATAGATAGATAGATAGATAGATAGATAGATAGATAGATAGATAGATAGATAGATAGATAGATAGATAGAATATTAGGTAGATAGATAGACAGATGTGTTGTGATAGAAATGTGTTGTATTTTAATAATTCGAGTCTACGTTATTTATTTTATCTATGTTATTTATTTGAATCTACTGTTTTGATCTATATAAATCATTTTTTATTCTGTTTATGCCATATAATGTTTAATCCCGATTGAATGATCCTTTATTCATTTTCTCAGTTGAGCGTCTACACTGCATTAAGACCCAATGCTGACGGTGGACACAGTCTGATCCACAGAGAGGAAGAGTTTGACGTCAACACCAAGTTTGAGAAGTATGTCATGATTTTTTAGATAATGGCCATCTGTGTGTATATCCTAATATACACATTTAATATCCAAATATCTTTTAAGATAAAACTTTAGGTTGGTTATTGGTGAAGCATAAGGTAATTGTTTCTCTGCTGTGTTTCATAAGAAATATTTCTGTGTCAAGAGTTCCAAGTGTATTGTACTGTCAGCTTTAGTATAGTAATGCTAGTCATCATTTTAACACCAGGCATGCATTAAAAGGACATTTTGTGCTTCCCATTTCAAAAACTAATGCAAAGTAACGCACTGCAATGTATAGAGGAATGAAAACATGGAATGAATTGCCATCAGACATTACATGCTTTGTGACAAGTAAAATGAAGTTTAAAAAATTTGCTGGTTTAAGCACCTGACTGGGTCAGTTGGCATTTCTGTGTGGAGTTTGCATGCTCTCCCTGTGTTGGTGTGGGTTTCCTCAGGGTGCTCCGGTTTCCCCCACAGTCCAAACACATGCGCTATAGGGGAATTGATGAACTTAATTGGTCGTAGCGTGTGTGAATTAGTGTGTATGGGTGTTTCCCAGTTCTGGGTTGCTGCTGGAAGGGCATCCGCTGCGTAAAACATATGCTGGAATAGTTAGCCATTCATTCCTCAGTGACGACCCCTGATAATTAAGGGACTAAGCTGAAGGAAAATTAATGAAATCCAAATGTCCAACGCCAGATTTGCACCTCACAGCTTTACATCTGTCTTTTACAGGTTAGTGAATGTGTCTTTGCCCAAAAAGACGCGCAAGAATGGCACGCTGTACGCCATGGTGTTTCTGCATCAGGCCGGAGTCTCTCCATGGCAGGATCCACATCAGGTTCATCTAGTCACTCAACTGACCACATACATGCTGCCCAAACCTCCAGAGATCAGCTTGATCACAGGACAGGACGAGCCGGAGGTAAGAGACGCCTCAGACTGATGATTAATAGGCGATTGACCTTATTCTTCAGGTTCAAGTTACTGAATCTGATTTGTGCTCAGAAACCAGATCAGCAAAAGCAGAGCAGCGACTCTGAGCTGGACCGTCCCGTTTCTCACTGGCGTTCCCGTCTGACGCTGAATGTGGTGTCCGAGAACTTCCTGTTTGACCGCGAGGCACTTCCTGGAGATGTTCATCGCTACATGAGAGTGTGAGTACATCAGTCTGACCTCTGCTTTTATATTTAACCACCTGCTGTTACCACAATACTGGAGCTTTTAACTTGATACCCTAAAGTGTCAGGAGAAGCACTTTAGCAACGAGACCAGCAGCCTGTAAGTACATTTAGACTTGTTTCAGTTGTTGTGTATGGTTTGAGGACTTGTTTTCAGCTGTTTGTGTTACGCCTGTTTCACACCGCAAGCGGCAGCGGCGCGTGAGCAGAGCGTGTGTTTTCGGCGTCCATGTTAACAGATGGGAGCTTTCATACCGCACGCAGCTGCAGCGCGTCAGAGCGAGGCGTGAGCGTCGCCGAAGCAGCAGTGCAGCGATAGTTTCGGCGCTGGGTCTATTTTTGACGCGCTGCTCACGCTCAATTAAAGTGACAGTGCTTTGATAATGACCAAAACACATTGAATGACAGTAAAAACTAACAATTTTACCCAATAAATACGTTAATAATGTCAAATGGTTTATATATAGTCATTCAAATGAACTTAAAACGATTAAAAACGGCAACAAATATTTATTTAGGCCCGAACTACAAAACCAAATGTAAAACTATTTTACTATCAGTTTTGCTTTTTTTTGCACACTAGTGTTGTAGGAGAGGGGAAATGGAATATTTACGGGATTTGTAGTCCATGGCGAAGTGTATTGTGGGTAGTGTAGTGCGACACGCATGCTGGATTATGTGAGCTCGCTGTGTTCTGTGCAGCTGAGCAGAGCAAGAAAGTTTTAATTGGCGAAAATAAGTAAAAGAATGGCATGCATTGGTTACTTTTGTCCGTCTCATCATCTGCACGAGCATGAATTAACGAGCTGTTATTCTGCCGCTGGACAACACTGAAGCGGAGAAAGTAATACTAGTTTAATCATGTATAAATATCATTATAACTATATTGTATAAATATGATTATAACTAGGTCTACAGCAACTTGATAATCAAAAAAATGACATGATATCACAGGCGATTGTCTTCTGACTGTAGACACTTCTCATATAAGTTAGCTTGAGAAGCATACAGTACTATTTGATCTATAAAATTTGTAAAATAAACATTTGCAGGTTAAAGAAACAGCATAGGAGGGGCCTTGGTGCAGATGAAAAGTTTAAAAAGTGTATTTGTATATAGAGAGACATGGATAACTAGATAGAATAGACAGATAGGTTGATCTCTGCAGCAGCTGCCGAAGAGCTGCGCGCTGCAGACGCAGCTGGTGTGAAAGGCAAACGCCTGCGTGCTGCTACTGCTCGACATATGCACTGCTCATGCTCTGCTCATGCGCCGCTGACGCTTGCGGTGTGAAACAGGTGTTAGGTTATAGGACATTTAAACTTGTTTTCAGTTGTGAATAGTACTAGAAAAGTTTAGCCACTGTTTCCTTGGTTATTATAAGAGCTTGTGTGTCGAACGTGGACGGTTTCACGTCGTCCGCCGCAGTTTCGGGCATTGTTTTACTCTGGAGGTGTGTCCAAACGCCAGGTAAACACTATATATTGAGCACGCTAGCTTTAGTTAGGAGAGGCACTTTAGCAACGAGACCAACAGCCTGTAAGTACTCGCTGTTTTTTACTCGCTGAGTCACTCGCTGTTTTCAAGAAACGACTAAAAACTCAACTATTTAGTCTCCACTTCACTTCCTAATCTGCAATTTCCTCTCTGGATATACCACTAACTGTACTACAAAAAAAAAATTACTAATACTACTAATACTTTCCTTCTTAGACTTTACACACCTGAAACTTGCCTACAGCACTTATTCATTGTTGCTCTTATAGTTGTGTAAATTGCTTCCTTGTCCTCATTTGTAAGTCGCTTTGGATAAAAGCGTCTGCTAAATGACTAAATGTAAATGTGTCCATGAAATACCTCCATTATTTATTTTGAATTGTTCCGAGGTCCAATTAAAATCTTATAATGATTTCTTACATCCCAAATAAAAACCTCTAATTTATAAGTAATTGACCTTTTTTGTGTGCCGTTTCTCACTCCTTGTCATCAGAGGGCTCTGTTTGAGTGGGTGTGGCCTATTGTAGACTCTCAAGTAAATGTCTACTTTGATTGGCTGACAGATTTGCATATTAACAAGGCTAAATATGCAGTGTAGCATAAGTAGGTGTTGTCTTTCTGTGGAGGCGGGGCTTATCCAAACTATCCGCTTGTTAAGTGGTGACGTGTTTGTGACGTATGTAATACTGTTTCCGGGTCCAAGCAACCATTCATTTGAGTGGAGAAATCATTCGTTTATGATCACCTTTTATTCCTATCGCACATTAAAGTTAATTTTACATAAAGTCATAGTGTACACAACAATCTCTGGGCTTGCTGCATAACAAATACCAAAAATTTAACAATTGAAAAAAATTTTTATCACTTTATGGCCATCGGATATTAGACATGCACATATATACTGCGATCGTGACTTTCGAAAGCATTAAATCCCTTTGTAAACGTTTATTATTACCATTTCATGAGTCTCCCCATTCAGTTGAATAGAGCGCCGGAAGCCGCTCCGCGTGACGTCACACTTAACAAGCTGATTACATCATAAAGTAGAACATTCCGTTTTCTAGCATTTTCTCAGACTGTCTTCAATATACGCTGATTTTAGAGGAACAGTAAACTATTGAGTTTTAAACTTAGAGGATGTGTTTATAGTCTGAAGAGCTCTTATAGGTCAAAAGATCAACATATTGTTGGTTTCTCAGTTCATGACCCCTTTAAAGAATGACAGTACTGTTGTTGATATCATTTATGACATTTACAAAATTTAGACAAGTCTTATATTAGCCAAAGTTCAAACCTCAAATATGGCTCGGTGTTTAGGAGTTATACTGCTGGTCCGGGTTGGCACCACTTCTTTCTTAGCTGAACAATAAATTAAAATGACATTTATTAATGAATTAATGTATATCTGAATAAAGGAGTAAGATATAAAATGTAAGTCTTATTGTTATTTTTTTCATCACCGTGCCTGTGCGTAATTCTCTGTATTGTTGTTGTCTTGCAGGTATCAGAGCGGGAAGAAGATGATTTACCTGCCGCTGCTGTTTGTGGATGAGCTCAGCAACAGAGTCAAGGATTTAATGGTGCTAGTTTGATTCTCTTCTCATTTCAGATGTTTATTCACAGCTCCTGTATATTAAACATTCGCACTGAGGCTCTGTTCACACCTGCTGTTCAGTGGCATTTCAATTGATCAGATCACTAATGTCTGTTCACATCTGATGTTTACATGCATCACTGTTGTCCACTTTCAACTAGTTTTCTGATGATGGAGTATGTTTAGACTTTTTTTTTGGTACTAATTTGCATAATATTTATATTTGCATTATATTTTCATGAAATTTGTTTTTAAATCCAAGACGCATTTTTGTCCATCATTTGTATTATGAATATTTTAACATATAATTTAAGTGAGATTCAGAGACTTTATAAAAGATATGTATAAATCCACCGTGGTATTTGGGAGTTAGAACAGCATGCTGCTTTCGTTTCTAACTTAACTGTGTTAAAATCAGTTCCTGTAAGAGAATGTTTCTGCCTCCAAACATCAGATTTGCTTTTGACCACCCATGGATGTTGTCGAAAGTAGTCAAGCTCAAAACATTCAATACTCTATTTGCACCTGTATTTAGCATCATCCACTTGTGATTGGATTGACAGAAACGCATTTTAATAGATCATGTAATCAGTGTTAGGCCTTAATTACACCGAACAAGCTTTTTTTTTTTTGCATTGAGAGGCGCCTTTTTTAAATGGTTTTCTAATCGCCACTAGCGTTTTGAGCGCTGCTTATAAAGTCAACTTCCAGTTGCATCTTTTTAAATTGTCCAATCAAATAAAAACCAGTGGCGATTTCGCTCACAGTTCAAACACATGCGCTATAGGGGAATTGACCCTTCGCTAAGCCCCGCCCTCCTTAGTTACTGTTGCTATGCCTGTCAGGCTTTCGTGCCTGGCAGGCTTTTACAATGTGTGTGCGCCGATGTCAGACATTCCCAGGGATATAATGTCATTTTTGGTGAACAGGTGTGATATCCGAGAAAGCCAGACAAAAAAGGACTGCAGTATGCATTACAGGGGTATATTCACCACATAATAGGCGACCGATTAGAGAATAATTCAATCAAAATTGAAGCTAGCTTAGCCTAGCCGCCTCCTACGCTAACCATTCAACAGCTTAGCTCATGCTCATCAGGAGAGGTGACCTTTTAAAAATAATCTAATAATAACAAATTAACTATGACTAAGTTAACTTACTATGGCGAAGGCTTAAATGGAGCATTACTCAAAATGTCAAGCGAAAAAAAAAAAAGGAATAAGACAGCTGGGAAACATAACATGCGTTGTATTTTCGTAGGAAACACAGTTTAGAGCTGTTTAGGGTAAGAGGTGTGTGAGTTATTGCCGTCAGTTTATCACTGATTGTGTCAGGAATATCAAAACAAAACCAACTCAGCTCCGCTCCTTTAGCGCCCCTCACAGAGCTTGATCCATGCTGGCATTTCTCCTCTTGGGTTTTTGGTTTTGAAAAGGAAAAAATTCCACCATCCCATCCAAACTTTAAGGATACCGGGTATCAGATTTGCACAATTCATATGTACTCGCTCGAAACCTTGACGGAGCCCCTGCACGTAGCTACAGTTGCTAAGCCACAATTGGTGGGTGGCGGTTTTTGGGTGTGGCTTAGCGAAGGGTCAATTGAATGAACTAGATTGGCCGTTGTTTCCCAGTATTGGGTTGCAGCTGGAAAGGCTGGAATAGTTGGCAGTTCATTTTCATTTAATCAACCTCTGATTAAATGAAGGACTAAGCTGAAGGAAAATGAATGAATGATTTACATTTATAACAATATTAACCCAACAGCAACGCTTGCACACAACATGGAGCTGATTAAGTGGATGCCTAGTGACATAGGAAGCAGTGTGGTGCGCCTCACATTCTCAGAACAGAAAAGCATGTTCATTGTGATCGGTTCCTTAATGGGGTTAACCTGAAATGTGTTTCGCAGGAGATCAACAGCAGCTCCACTGAGCTTCCTCTGACCATCACATACGACTCCATCGCTCTGGGCAAACTGCGCTTCTGGATCCACATGCAGGACGCCGTTTACTCACTGCAGCAGTTCGGTAAGACTCTGTGGACATGAAACTCAATATGCAAACATTATTTAGTCCTTTTTTTATGATGTATATCCAAATCAAGAAGCAAACATTACCAAGATGTAAAATAAGTCTTTAGAGAGAGTGTGTGTGTGTGTATGTGTGTGTGTGTGTGTGTGTGTGTGTGTGTGTGTGTGTGTGTGTGTGTGTGTGTGTGTGTGTGTGTGTGTGTGTGTGTGTGTGTGTGTGTGTGTGAAATTTCATCTCTAAATACCACACAGACATGTTCTCTGACTCTCTGAAACTGACCCCTTTCAGGCTTTGATCCTAATTGTGGTGTTTTGGTGACTGTAGCTTTAAATGCAAATGAGATTGTGCTTCTTATAGAAGAGGGCGGAGCTACAAACGCCAGTGTGTCAGCATAGTGGCAGATTCAAAAACAACGTCCTATGCAAATGAGGGAGAGATAGTCACTAGTGTCAATCAAAGTGTCAAACTGCAGACTGTTTTGATCAGGGCTGATTATAAATGATAGATTTAATAAATGTTTACCATTAGAAGCTGCCTATATTCACACACTGCTGACACACAACTGTGTTTAAACCCCTTATAAAAGAGAATATATGAAGGATAAATATGCCGTAGTGTTTTTTTGGCTAAAGTTTCTATAAGGTTGTTATTAAAATATGCAAAAATGTGCTTAATTTATTTTGAATTATTGATTATTAATTATTTTTAAAATATTAGCACTAAAGCATTTCTTTAACTAAAGGCATTAATATTTATCCTTCATGTATAAATGTTATATTTTCTGCCTTCACTTAACAGCTTTAGATTGGCAATCAAATTATTTATAAAGCAAATAAGATGTACACTGAATTTACTTGAACATTTCTCATGCAGTTATTGTGCAAAATGTACATAATATTCACTAATTTCAACATGAAAGAAATTTAACTATGAAATAAAGTAATAATAAACTAACATGTTCTATTACTATTGCCATAGCTGTTGTATTAAATATTTTAATGGCATTCATTTTTTATTAATTAGAAATATTCCTCTCAGGTTACATTGTTTACTCATTTAATTGATTCATTTTAATTGAGCACATTTAATTTAGATTATGCATTAATCTACAAAATAAAAGTCTTCTTTCTCTGTTGTATTTTGTATTTCAGGCTTCACTGAAAAGGACGCAGATGAAATCAAGGGGATTTTTGTGGACACTAACCTGTATTTCCTCGCTCTCACCTTCTTTGTGGCTGCTTTCCATGTGAGTTTAAGGTTTTACACTGAGATTAATCACCGTTCTGAACATTCACTGCATCCGAACATCACTGTGTGTCCTTTTCCAGCTTTTGTTCGACTTTCTGGCTTTCAAAAATGACATCAGTTTCTGGAAGCACAAGAAGAGCATGGTTGGCATGTCCAGTAAAGCAGGTCAGTGTACTATTTTGTTTTTTTATTGTTTGATTTGTTCAGCAAAAATAATCCTTTTACAGGACTGATTTACATGCTTTTCATGTTCATGCAAAGTGTTTTTGCACATGTGAAAGGTTGTTCTGTATTTTTGTAAATAATCTCCATGCATAACAAAATGTGTTAGAGTGTTATTTTTGAACTCGTTAATAGTCATGATACTACACACACACAGGGTAGGAAATAAAATATTAGTGGTGAAATTAACATTGAAGTATGTAAATTATACTTTGTATATTAAGGAAGAAAGATAGATGGATATGAAAAATGTATATGTTTATCTCTGTGTGTATAATAGATATATAAACTCACCGGCCACTTTATTAGGTACATCTTAGGTTCCTTTTGCCTTCAGAACTGCCTTAATCCTTCATGGCAGAGATTCAACAAGCTACTGGAAATATTAATCAGAGATTTTGCTCCATATTGACATGATAGCATCACACAGTTGCTGCAGATTTGTTGGCTGCACATCCATGATGCCAATCTCCCGTTCCACCACATCCCAAAGCTGCTCTGTTGAATTGAGATCTGGTGACTGTGGAGGCCATTTGAGTACAGTGAACTCATCGTCATGTTCAAGAAACCAGTCTGAGATGATTGAGCTTTATGACATGATGCGTTATCTTGCTTGAATAAGCTATTAGAAGATGGAGACACTGTGCTCATAAAGGGATGGACATGGTCAGCAACAATACTCAGGTAGGCTGTGGCGTTGACATGATGCTCAATAGTTACTATTGGGCCCAAAATGTGCCTAGAAATCTCCCCCACACCATTACACCACCACCACCAGCCTGAACCGCTGATACAAGGCAGGATGATCCATGCTTTCATGTTGTTGATGCCAATTCTGAGCCAAGCATCCGAATGTGTCAGCAGAAATGGAGACTCATCAGAGCAGCAATGTTTCTCCAATCTTCTATTGTCCAGTTTTGGTGAGTCTGTGTGAATTGTAGCCTCAGTTTCCTGTTCTTAGCTGACAGGAGCGGCACCCGGTGTGCTCTTCTGCTGCTGTAGCCCATCCGCCTCAAGGTTGGCCGTGTTGTGTGTTCAGAGATGCTCTTCTGCAGAGCTCGGTTGTAGCGAGTGCTTATTTGAGTTACTGTCATCTTTCTATCAGCTGGAACCAGTCTGGCCATTCTCCTCTGGCATCAACAAGGCAATTATGACCACAGAACTGCCGCTCACTGGATATTTCCTCTTTGTCAGACCATTCTCTGTAAATCCTAGAGATGGTTGTGCGTGAAAATCCCAGTACATCAGCAGTTTCTGAAATACTCAGACTAGCTTGTTTGGCAGAAACAACCATGCCACGTTCAAAGTAACTTAAATTCCCTTTCTTCCCCATTCTCATGCTCGTCTTTATCATGTCTACATGCCTAAATGCATTAAGTTGCTTCCATGTGATTGGCTGATTAGAAATTTGCGTTAACAATCAGTTGGACGTGTACCTAATAAAGTGGCCAGTGAGTGTAGACATCATATTTAAAATTTAATATTATTATAAAATTTGCTAAATTTGCCTCACATAATGTGTGTGTGTGTGTATATATCAGTGCTGTGGAGGTGTTTCAGCACTATCGTCATCTTCCTGTATCTGCTGGATGAACAGACGAGTCTCCTGGTTCTGGTGCCTGCAGGAATCGGCTCTTTGATCGAGGTACAGCAAGAGTGAATGAATGAATGAATGAACGATGTCTTCTGTTTTTATTTTAGCGTCTTTACTTTTTCATAATAAGCTGTCGTTGTCGCTAAAAGAATGTAGAAGATCCGCCATTATGGAACAAATGAATCTTTGGTTCGGCTGGCTCAGTGGTCAGCACTGTCACCTCACAGCAAGAGGGTCACTGGTTTGAGCCTCAGCTGGGTCAGTTGGCGTTTCTGTGTGGAGTTTGCATGTTCTCCCTGTGTTCGTGTGCGTTTCCTCCGGGTGCTCCGGTTTCCCCCACAGTCCAAACACATGCGCTATAGGGGAATTGATGAACTAAATTGGCTGTAGTGTATGAACGTGTGTGTGAATGACACACATGGGTGTTTCCCAGTACTGGGTTGCGGCTGGAAGGGCATTCGCCATGTAAAAAATATGCTGGAATAATAAAAAGACCAAGCCGAAGGAAAATGAATGATTAAATCTTCGGTTTGTTACACAAAGGAGGAGGAAAATAACATAAGGACGACAGCAGCAATGAGTCTCCTCTAGGATGCAAAATGGGTCATAACTGTGCTCAACAAGACCACCGCGAGGAGTCCTGCTTTGCGGATTTCACCTATTGTGAGTTATTTTAACCGAGGGACCACTGTACCTATATTTGAACCTGTTTGCTCTTGTTTTTCAGGTGTGGAAAGTGAAAAAGGCTTTTAAAATCCACGTCATATGGAGAGGCTTGACTCCCACATTCCTGGTAAACTCCAGCAGTTTCTTAACTCATTACTAACAGTAAACGGTGAATGTTTGCTAACTATCGGTGAATGTTTCCTTCAGTTTGGAAAGCTTGATGAATCTGAGAAGCGCACAGAGGAGTATGACACTCTGGTGAGCTCAATCTTCATCTCTAACATGACAATCTGATTATATTCGGATGAATCTGCAGTAATGTTTGATCATGTTTGTCCGAGCAGGCGATGAAGTATCTGTCGTATCTGCTGTATCCGCTGTGTGTCGGCGGAGCGGTTTATGCACTCGTGTTTGTCAAGTATAAAAGGTAAAGAGTCACATCATACAGTGATAAACGTATGAATAAATCTGTATATTACTGTATTTACTAATTATACATCATTTACATTGATTATTTATTATACATATACATTTATATGACACTTTTACATTTTGTGTATACATATTTTTTATTATTTTACCTTTCTGCATTTGATATTCATCTCTATTATTAATTAATATAATGTAAAAATATGACTGAATATGACTGCTTGTGCTGAATAGTGAACGCATGATTAATATTGGTTGTGTTTGAACAGCTGGTACTCCTGGATTATTAACAGTTTAGTCAATGGTGAGGGTCTATTTTCAGCCTTATATAATTGATTTATTGATTTACAGATAGTAATGATGGATATTTAATTGTTGATTGTTTTTCTGATGTGATCAGGTGTGTACGCCTTTGGCTTCCTCTTCATGCTGCCTCAACTCTTTGTAAATTACAAGGTTTGTTATTTAAGTTTGAGGTGCTGTGAAGACATCTGAATATTCAAATAACTATTGATGCATGAGTGAATTTAAATCAAATCATTTGTTTCACAGCTGAAATCAGTCGCTCATCTGCCCTGGAAAGCCTTCATGTACAAGGTAGGAGACGATAATGCTAAAATAGAAAATTAAAGACATTAAAAAATGTCATTAAAATCTCATACACACTCCACAACCTCACTGTTAACATAGATTGGGAATACAAAATGACTATTGATTGAAATTGAAATGCATAAATGTTATGGTAACGATGCTTAACTATTACTGAATTGACATTAGGTAACCAACGTAGCAGAAAATAATTATTTAAATAGTTTGTTTATTTGTATTTATTTTTTACTTTAAACGCATATTAGTGTATTATTACATGCATAATTACTATTATATATGTAATTATTTGCATGTCTTCTTTTGTTCAATGTACATTTTATTTTAAAGTCATTTTATTACTTGTTATTGTATTACTTTATTCTTTAAAATCTTTTTTTTTTTTTTGAACTTCAACATGAATCACACCAAAAATAGAGATGTTAAAAAATAAAAAGTTTTCAGGTTATTTTTTAGAAAATGATGCATTTTATTAGAATATTTTTGTATTCCTTTTGTTTTAAAATGTGCCGTCAATGTTAAAATAAAAGTTTTTTTTTTTTTACAAAATCTGTAAATCTTTCTATGAATGTATGAATGAATTTATAATAAAAAATAAATAAAATAAAAAAAGATTAAAAATATGAATTCAAAAAATATAAAAAATTAATTAAAAAATAAATTAAATTATTCATTGATTTATTTTGCTTATGATAAATTTATATATAACATATTTCTATTGTACATGTAATGCATTATTTATAGATTATTCTATATCTGAGTGGTTGAGTATCATTAATGTAGGCTTAGGTTTATTATTTTATTTTATTACTATTAATTTTATTTTAGTCTTTTATTTGCCACAAATGTTAAAATAACAATTAAATAAGTCAACATAATTAAAAATATATAATTTTGATGAATGAATATATGAATTTAATTATTCATTAATTAATTTATTGATTTTTTTTAAATATAAATATATAATATATATTATATATTAATTAATATATTATTAATATATATACATATAATATAATATATATTATACATATATATATATATATATATATATATATATATATATATATATATATATATATATATATATATATATATATATATATATATATATAATTTATTTATTATATTTACTAAAATTTGTATGTCCTAAAGATTGTGTTTCAATAGTTTTGTAGTTTTAGTTTTGTTATATATTTTCTCACTTGTCTTCCTCGACAGGCTTTTAATACGTTTATCGATGACGTCTTTGCGTTCATCATCACTATGCCCACATCCCATCGGTTAGCCTGTTTCAGAGACGACGTGGTCTTCCTGGTGTATCTCTATCAGAGATGGTGAGAAACTTTTAATACGAAATAAATCAGATTTTAATCTCGCGTGTGTTTAATCTGAGATGTCTATGTTTGTTTTCAGGCTCTATCCAGTGGACAGAAGCCGTGTGAACGAGTACGGCGTCTCCTACGATGAAAAACCCAAAGGAAAATCACATGAAGATTGACATCATCATCATCTAAAACCGAGGACAGATGCTGCGTTTGTCTATTTAAGCTCAGTTTTGCTCTGCTAACCGGAGAAATGACACTGGTTATTGGACTGAGACACACACACACAGCTCCGGAAGCTGGAGAGATTGGTTTCATTTTTACAGAATGTATTTGGATGGGGCTTTTCCATTCAGTCTCAGATAGTGTTTTGAATTAAGAGCATATCTCAAGGGTGCCAAACGAGCAGAGGTTCGGACTGATTATGGCTTTTTTGTTGGATTAATTTGAGTAACATGACTGTTGTTTGTGTGTTCAGAGAGGATGATGATGATGACGATGATGTGTCTGTTTGTTTGTTTTTGGTTCATTCCATTAAGTGTTTCTGTGATTAAACTGCTCAATTAAAGAGACTTTATTACACAGGCTGTCTAGATTATTATATTTTATATGCTTTATTACAGTTTCTGGTTCATTTTATATGACATTACAATCGCTGATTTAATTCATTTTAAAAGGCTTCATTACAGTTTCTGATATTTTTTACATTTTCTTTTATATTTTTATTACGGTGATTGATATTATTTATTTTATATTTATTATACAGTCGCTGATATTATTTATTTTATATTTATTATACAGTCGCTGATATTATTTATTTTATATTTATTATTACAGTCGTTTTATATATATATATACATATATATATATATATATATGCTTTAATAGTCATTCATTTTTGTTTTATTTATTTATTGGGCATGAAGTGAACTCTTAGTGCATACAAAATCACCAGGCATGTGTCTACACAATTAATTACATTCAGAATTACAAAACTTCTATAAGACAAAAGTACTGTAGCATAATACTAAAGGTTTAAGACAGTTCGGTTCGTTACAGTACCATGTAAATAACTTAAACGAAGTATGGGAATTTTACAGTATCATGGAATTTGATATATAAATAAATAATAAAATAGATAGCTACTTAATATTACTGGTATTCTATACTTCGGTACAAGTACCATAGATTAAAAGGCTCCTCACTAATATTACAAAGTAAAGCAAAAGTCTAATAAAATACCGAGTACAGTCACGTAAACGATTTTAAATATGATTTTAAATTTATATATTTATATACTCATTTATTCATTAATTCATTCACTAGTCAGCGCTGTCGTGAGCACATATACACAGCGAATAACTGACATCACAAACGAACCAATCACAGCTTTTGTTTTCTTCACTTGTCTCGCCCACTGAAGTGACGCACAAGTCTATATAAGTCTTCGCTCCACCCTTTTCCGGCCCTTTCCGTTTACTGAGATCGCAGCATTTGAGGTGCTCGGTTCTTCTCCCGAAGCTAAGGCCTTCAATCCGGCGACTAGCACCGTCAAATTTGCCCATCCGCACCAAAAAACTTAACCTACCGAAAGAACGATGGCATCTGTGTCCGAACTCGCCTGTATTTACTCCGCTCTGATCCTCCACGACGATGAAGTTACCGTCACGGTGAGTGTTGAGCTCCTAACCGGCGAAACGTGAACATCCGGGACTCAACCGCTACGGTTCTCGCATGCTACCCTGATTTTTGTGCTAATTTAGTATTTCTGCGTTTGCTAGTTCAATTACATCACATGTTTGGTGTGTTATTAGATAGTTAAGTCGCTGTGTTTGTGTGAATAGCAGTAAGCACGTTATAGCACATTTTCGCGCGCTTCCTGTCGTTATCCTGTACGGCTTAAATACTTCAGATAAATGTTCACATTGTGGCTGTAAACACGCATAACTGAACGTACTAGCTATCAGCACCTGGTAAGTTAGCATCCCTGTATCATGCTAATGACACATTAGCACTTTAGCTAGTAGGCTAAAGACTAGATAAGTTGGTCAGTTGACATGTGCTGGTATTCATTAATACAGTATTTCCTAAATAAGCATGCATTAGTTATCATGGTCATGTAAAAAAGTGTAAATATTTAAGCTTTAGACTGTCTTTTAAAAGTTTATTCTTTTTACACCTTAAAGCAAGACTCAATTAATGATGTTGTGAAAAGTACGTGTGTAGTTCATTCATCTTAGTTGTGGAGATTGTTTACAGGTTTTTTTTTTATTGACAGTTTTTAGTTGAATAACTGCACCAATGTAGCTTATTCGTTGAGATTTATATCTTGTTATTTGCTGAATAAGACCATAATCAAGTACTTCAATTCTTTACAATGCATAAAAAATAGTTATAGTCCATGTCCAAGTAGTCTATCAAGATAAAACATGTAGACCATTTTGAGGTATGTAAACAAAAAAATAAGGTTCCAACATGTTTTCAGTTTTGCATTTTAAATTTGTATAGCTTTCAAGAACTCAAAATTGATAGTTATGATAGCTGCTTTAACATTAAGTTATGATTGACCTGCCTGTTACAGTTATGAAATGGTTTGATAAGCAGGAAATGTTCACGGGCCAATGACATAACCACATTGAAATGGTCTAATTATACGCTGCATGATTTGCACTTAGCCAATTAATTATTTTTCTGATGTTGTTTTAATAACTCAGTGTATATTCTAATAACAAACATCACAATCAAAACTTTCACCAACAAGTGAATGAGACTATTAGAGGTGAATTTAAAGCATGTTCGGGGGCGTAATGACCTACAAATATTATTGTAGCATCTCAAAAACCATAACCTTACAAATAATTTTGCTGCTTTGATCTGATCGCTGCTATTGTCTTGCACAGTATTTGCATTAAATGAGTTGATGCACTGATATGAACTCTCTCTGAATGTGTTTTTCAGGAGGACAAGCTGAACGCTCTGATCAAGGCTGCCGGTGTGACCATCGAACCCTTCTGGCCTGGTCTCTTCGCTAAGGCAAGTTTATTTCACATCTGACAGGAGGATGATGGAGAGATAAATGTGAATGCCTTCCATCATTAAGTCCTCATGCTGTAGTGCAGGGGTGCTCGAACTCAGTCTTGGATGGCTGGTGTCCTGCACATTTTAGTTCCAACCCCAATTAAACACACCTGAACAAGCTTATCAAGCTCTTTCTAGGTATACTAGAAACATCCAGGCAGGTGTGTTGAAGGAAGTTGGGGCTAAACTCTGCAGGCCCTCCAGCACCGAGTTTGGACACCCCTGCTGTAGAGCATCTTGATGGTATGATTCAAGACTCAGATTTTATGCATGTTTAATGCATGTTAAAATATGAAATTGTTAACCAAATAGGCATGCAAACAAATATAAACTATGAATTGAATCATCCTAAACGTTTCTATATACATGTGACTGTTAAAAACTGCTGTGCAGAGAATTGCTCTTGAATTAAGCCCTCGCGCTGTACAGCAGCTTAATTGTTTCGAGTCTGATGGGATGTGTCTTGTGTTCAGGCTCTGGCCAGCGTGGACATCGGCAGTCTGATCTGTAATGTTGGAGCAGGAGGTGGAGCTGCTCCTGCTGCCGCTGCTGGTGCTGCTGCTCCTGCAGGTGGAGACGCTCCAGGTAAACATCACCCATCATCTGTTACTATACATTTAATGATGTGCAAGCTGACATTGAGTAGCACCTTCTTCTAAACAACCCTAAAACAGATTCTGAAAGTGAAGAGTGCTCTCTCTGGGAAAGCCTAAAATACAAATTATTAAAAGAAATAGCCTGAAGGGGTTGTCTTCATCTCTTCATATTTTTTATAATATGATGCGAGTAATCATGCAGCTAAGACTGATGTTTTTCAGGCATGTTGTCATATATGCTACTGATTTTACTACAGCTTAAGCAAGTTCATATTGAATTAGCTGCATTAAACTATCTGACTGGGTTTTCCAATGAAAGCAGTACATCTGTGCATCTCAGCAACACTTTTCACAACAATTTTCGCTTCAGATTTTAAATCTTGTTAAACAGCCCAACCCATTACTCAGCAGTTGATTTCTGAATTATTCAATTGGGATGCTTGATGGTCAGTACTGTAAATGTCAAATACTTCAGAACCCCATTTAAAAACCATTAGCAATGTTTTATTAAGTACATACTCTATCGATTGCAGTGAGTTTTAATACTATTACATTTGTAATGCATGATTTACTCATTGCCTACAGCTTTCCCCACACCAAATATCCATAAACTTGTTTTTGTTGTAACCATCCAGAAACTTGGGTTTGATCTGAGATGAATGCAAGATTTTGAAAGCGTTATAGAATGAAGGCCATGTTTGACTTGTTACAGTGCGTGCATTAAATCTGAGGATGATTGATTTAAAATCTTTTATCTGTTTGCATTACAGCCAAGGAGGAGGAGAAGAAAGAGGAAAAGAAAGAAGAGTCTGAGGAGTCTGATGACGACATGGGCTTCGGTCTGTTCGACTAAAACAGCTCTTTTAATAAAAAAACACATAGAAACTGTAAGTGATGTTCGTCTCATTACTGGACACGGCTTTGGGCTTTAGTATTCAATGCACCAGTGCTGAAGGTCTTAATTTTAAAACTGAAAAATGCAGATTGATTGGTGTTTAATGACATTAATAACAATTATACATTTGTTTTGTGTAGTGCCTTAAATATAACTTGATAATATATGACTTAACAACTTATAAATGGTATATAATGAATAAACCAAAGCACAATTGAGTAATGAATGAATAAAACATGCCAAACAATGCAACAGAATGCAATAGGGCATATGCAGAGCGAGTGTTTCTTCCCATACTCGTATACTTCCAGTGAGCGGCTAATGCAGGGGTCATACGGAAAACCTGGAAAAGTCATTGAATTTTGACATGACGTTTTCCAGACCTGAAAAAAGTTTTGGAAAAACACACAAAGTATAATTTTACACATTAAAGGGTTAAAAGTGTTTACTTTAATTATTGGGAGATTCCTCCACGTACCACTAGTCGTACACATACCACAGTTTGAGAACCACTGCTCTAAGCAATGTCATTTTCTTTACAGAGAATTAAAACAACAGATGTTTGGTAAATATTGAAGGGAGAAAAAAAGCGAAATTTTATTGCATAATGAAATGACCTCATGCACATAGTAATTTAATAGCAAACATTTTTCCCAATCTGCTGTATAGTATTCCATAAAGTGAATCTGAAGTTTACTTGGTGCTGAAAATGATGAGCATTTCTAAAGGCATCATTCAGCATTTTTGACTTTAAGTAGACTTTTTCCCTTTGATAATTATTAAAATGATGAACTACAGAATTGAATTTTAATTTTTGATGCTGTAAGACATTAAAAGGTTAATTCAGTAGGGTTAACTCCAGCAGAAACCAGACTACAGACCCACAGTGATAAAGATACCATTTTATTAGTTAAAAGATCTGTACAGTTGCTTCTTCCTGAGAATAATTTATATCAATGACAAAAGAAATGGATTTCACGATTGTTCTGTACACAAAGAAAATCTAGTCCAAACTCAACGGGGCTCCTTACACCCTTAGTGTGGTAAAAAATAACTGTACAGAGGAGAAACGGGTTGATGAAATGAGAAGGCAGCTCTGATTATAACCATTTACCAAGATGTGCTTCAAGTGCCTGATATGTGACTATTGACTTCAGTCCCGGCAGAACGTTCTGCTCTTCATACTATAGCTGTGATCTCTTCAAAAATATGTTCAATATGACTGTTTGGCTTGAGTCTGTACACGAGTCCTGAGCCAACTCCAGAGGAAGATTTCAGGAGGATGCAGCTTAAAAACTGAAGATCAGCACCTAGAAAACACTAGTCTCTTGACGAGCCTTTGGGTTATTGGAGAATCTTCCAGTTGCAGGTTTGAGTAAGACCACGAAGACCAACTTCATTTCTGGATATATCAAATCAACGAACGGTTAAACAAGAGAGATAAGAGTCTTCAGTCCAGCACATCCTGAAGAGTCTCTTAAAGAGACGCCACACACACACATCAGTGATATTCACTCTTCCTAAACCAGGGCTCTGTTCTTCATACCTTGCTTAAATGATTTAAGATGGGTTTTAATCTTGATAACTGATCTCAGGCTAATTTGGTTCTTCAGACAAGCTTGCAAATCAGATTAAAATGTCTGGATGAACTGATCTGAGATCAATATGTGTTAAATAGAACTCATGATCATCAATGCAACGATTGGCTGACTGTAATGACATCATCTGATCAATATTTAATGGTCCACATGAGCAAAATTACTTAATTCGTAGTAAACGGTGTGTTCAATATGATATGCAATAACTTCATTTGTTATGTGCTGCACTTTCAGTATTTAATCAGTATGTTCTTAGTTTTACATTGAGCAGATTTTCTCCAATATAGTAGCCCAGGCCTAGTCAAGTTTCTTAATCTGCATAAAGCACAGCTGGCTGTTAAAATAAATTTTACATTAAATAAATAAACATTTTAATATTGGTAAAGGTGTCTGCAACTTTTGTGGAGCATCAACTCATTGTTGATTCAGCATATTAGCTGTCAAAATATGACTGCATAATGTATTCCTTAAAAAAAAAAAAAAAAAGTTGTGCACGTCTGCTGTTATACACACATTGTACTAAAGCTGGGTTTGTGCCTTAAAATAGTACATGTTAGTATCTAAAGTCCATATTAATAAACACTCTTTAAAACCCTTGGGGAGAACCACCCCATAACAGTGCAGATTGCAGTTTTATTTATATATTTTTAACTTTAAACTGAAACTATCTATTATTTTACTATCTCAAGTGTATAGAACTACTGTAAGAAAATCTGAGCATTCGGTACACACTTTCTGTATTAGAATTGCTTGAAATGACCTGATCTGATCCTGCTGATATAAAATAAGCTGCTGCTCCTGAGCAGGTTTGAGCTGTTATGACGCCACTCTCAGATGAGTTTTGAAGAACGAAACAATCCTGGATCAAATTGTCAATAACCAAATTCAGCTAACGGAGTAATCCACGTACAAAGAACAGACCCCTGTATGAGTTTCTTCATCTAGTTTGAAGAGCTTTTGAAACTGGTTGCCATTAATTACCATCCAATCATTTTGATTTTCTATTATGGGAGTCAGTCGCTGTTTCCAAACACCTACACTGTAAAAAAGAAATCTTGCCTTCTTTTTTTGTTGTCGAATAATATGAACTTCTTACCTTACATCAATCAAACTGACGAGCTAAAAATGAACTAATTTAGTTGAAATTTGATTAATCTTGAAATAAAGCAACATGTTTGTCGTCTTGCCGTTGTCATTACACTTTTTATGCGCATTTTGGAATATTGCATTTAAAAAAAAACAAGCAAAGCGTATCCTATATGGACAAAACATGTGGATAAACAACGACGGAAACACATTTAGCGAATAAACTTCATCATACATTAATAAAGTGATGTGATTTTAGTTTTCTCAGATGATGTGATGCTATAAATGTGCGTTTCAGGGACTTTGCTTTGTTAATGTTGGTTTGCAGCTTTAAGCCGCGGTCACACTGCACTTTTCTCCCCATAGACTTCCATTCATACAATGTGAATGGGACAGACTGGAAACACAAGCTCGTGCAACAGGTTTCGCAGTTTGCTGCGTTGCAAAGTTCAGTGAAATTTATATGGACCAATCACTCACTTAAAATGTCTAATCATCTTGTTTAATCCCGCCCCTTTTCACAGCACCATAGAACTGATTTTGCACGATCAAACTCTACCGTGACCGCGGCTCTACATGTTTCCAGCTTTCCATTGTTGCAGATGTGAAATGTTGTTGTGCTGATTGTAAAAGGCCTCAGCCTAGAGGTCTGCATTCCCACGGCTGTCCCGCGGGCGCCGCAGGACCCGACCAGATTTCTGCGGCGCGGGAATAAATATCTGAATAAATCGCGGGAGCGGTCGGTAACGGGTTTAATTTGGGACGGGAGCGCGAATGAGAGAGAGAGAGCTTTCCCAGATAGCAAAATACACTCGGGCCAGTTCCGGCTAGATTCTCGCCTGCCGGAGACTTACCACTCAGCCCGGCATCGGCTGCCGTACTCCGGATGCTTGTGGACTCACAATCAATCGGGCCAGATGCAGCGGCTGTAAGTGAGCCGACGCTGCCGCATCCGCGACGGAATCGGCCCGAGAGTAACGTGCACTGCGGCCCGGAGCTGACGCAACTCAGTATTTATATAACTTTATATAAAACCTTTTGGTATTACATTGGTACTTGATACATGGTATTACAAGCCTTTGAGTTGATATAACAGCAAACGGGGAGCGGTCGGGTTCGGGCTAAAACTTGGCGGGCGGGAGCGGGATTCAAAATTTAGTCCCGCGCAGATCTCTACCTCAGCCCTCCGTCATCACAGTGCTTCAGTATTATTATTCTTCCCTCCAGCATCTGTCTGTGCTCCCATCTCACGCCTCCAAAAGCCACCGCATTCATTGCGTTTCTGAGGTGCAACTTATTTATTAGAGAAGAAACACCACAGTGGCGAATACCAACGCATCAAACTAACTCCTCTGACAGATATTTGAGCATGTTGATCAGGAAGTGATGATCCAGCTCTCTTTTTCTGCTATATTCGCTTGTTTTATGCAATATTGCAGTTTTGCGCATGCATCTACTTCTCATCTTTGGATAGAAACAGCTAATGGCAGCCAGTTTCCAGCATTCTTCAACTCATTAATACTGATCAGATGTTTGGGTGAAGTGTGTCTCTTTAAGAGTGATGTTCCTCCGTGATGATCCAGCCAGTGTGGAGGTCTCAGTGTGTGCGGTGGCTCATCTTGAGTCGGGCCTGGTCGATGACGTCCAGCAGGTTTTTGGCATCCACAGCGAGCGCGTGAGCCGCCGTCAGCATCTGCTTCTTGTAGTCCTGCTGGAGGCTGGTCAGCATGTACTGCTGCGCCAGACGCATCTTACTGATCAACTCCGCCAGGTCAGAGTTCAGCAGCTTCTGCGCCATCTCAATCTGAGGAAACACACACACACACACACACAGCAGAACTGCAATGACTGACGATAGCCGTGTCTTATTTCAGAGACTTTAAAGGAGAGTCCTTCAAAGTCCACACAGTCTGAACCGAGTGTTTTGAAATGAGACGATCGAGCCTACAGAGGACGGATCTCATCACCAGACAACCATGACAGCTGCTGTTAATAAGCACTGATAACATTTGTAATGACTTATTCAGAGTGATTTTAAAACTTATTTTAAGCGATCTGAAGGCAAAACAAGGTATGAAGAAGCAGGAAATATATTTCCTTTAACCCATACATGTACATAAACATGTAAACTGTCTATAAATCAGTCTTCAGTAAGGCATGCCATACTCTTTGTTTATTAACACGTGTTTAAATGTGCAAGTAAAATAAACCTAATTCATACATTTAATCTGGAGTTTTCTTTTTAAAGCATCCTGCCGCAATCAGCGCGCAATCAGTCTTAAGCATGTTTATTTACATGCACTCTTTCAAACTTGCACAAAAAAGTCTAAACATATGTAAATTAAATAGTTTTTAAATTAATTATTAGACTATTCTACATATTTAATAAAGCAAAAATAGATTTGTCTCAGAAATAAGTTCACAATAAAACAAACTCACCATGTGTTACAACATTACACTTATTACACTGCTGCATATTTAATGAGGCAAAAATAGTCCTGCGATACATTTACGGTTGTGTGTGTAATTCAGATATGAAACCATAAGAATAAAATCAGAAATTCTGTGAATGCAGTTATTAATAAGACGTAATTTATCTGATTATTACACAACAATGGTTAATTGTCTTATGAAACGCAAAAATGTTTGTTAGCGCATTTCTGACGTAAAAGCATCAATCCTAAATTATATACATGATTTATAAAAGATTTATTTAGACACTTTATAGCTGATTAATAATTATGTAAAATAATTATAATTAATGCATGTGATGCACAACTATATTTAGACAGTTTCAGGTGACTGATGCAAAAGCAAATAATGCAATAAATGAGCGTTAACTTTAGAAAATATCAAATATTTGTGGCATAAATACAGACTAAACTGTTTTTGTGAGTAACTTAGAAATTAAACTATGAATAAAATCAGAAATTCTATAAACGCAGTTATTAATAAGATGTAAATAATCTGATTATTACACAATAATGGTTAATAGTGTTACGAAACAGACAAGGATGCAATGTTTGTTTGCCCATTTCTGATGTAAAAACATAAATTCCTCTAAATACTATACGTGATTTATAAATGATTTTTTATTTAGACACTTTATAGTTAATAATGATGTAATATTATAATTAATGCATGTGATGCACAGATATATTTAGACAGTTTTCAGGTGACTGATGCAAAAGCAAATAATGCAATAAATGAGCGTTAACTTCTAGAAAATATCAAGAGAAGTTTCACAAACTAATTTCGAGAGGAGCACGTGATGTGATTATGTACGACTGGCTGCTCATCTGTATCAGTAATAATATCATCAGAGTGATCCAAGCGTGGATTGTTTTCTCTCTACTGCTCGATCGTCATTTTCGGAAGAATCCCCTCTTCCACCCATCTCCTGGGGAGCTCTCGAGACCTACCTGATCTCGCATCCCCTTATATGCCTATTGACCGGGCGGGAGCCTTGGGCTCAAGTATCTCCGAGCTCAGGGTTCTCTCCCTGGACAACATGCTAAACTTGCTATTAACGGCAAGCATATCTAAGTGTGAACTCTTAAATGTTTGTGGATAAATACAGACTGAACAGTTTTAAATAGAAATTAAACTATAAGAATAAAATCAAACATTTTATGAATGCAGATATTAATAAGATGTAATAAATATAAATATCAAAGCGATGGTTAATAGTGTGCTGAAACGCAGACTAGCAAGATATTTTTGTTAGCGCATTTCTGATTTAATAATTATGATTAATAACTGATCCATAATTTTTTTTTACCATTGATTAATAATTAATGCAAGTAACACACAACTATAATTACACAGTACAAATATAGGATTATTATTTGTTTGATTGATGCAAAAATAAACAATGCAATAAATGTGTATGAACTGTATGTAGGCTGTATTATATTTTAATGAAGCAGTAAATCAGTGCGTGCGTGTGTGTGTGTTCTGACCTCTCGATGTGTGTGTGCTGGTAACACTGGTATAGTCTCGTCCACCGTCGCCAGCAGAGTCCTGAGAGCCAGACCAACATCCTGACAGAAAGAGCGCACACACACACACACACACACACACACACACACACACACACACACACACACACACACACACACACACACACACACACACACACACACACACACACACACACACACTTCAGACTATGATGGTATCAGATTTTCTTGTTTGTGATTATTTGCTAAAGTTTTCACCATGATATATACGATGTTGTCACAGTACCGACCTAAAAAGTTGCTTCATTATATTTACATGTTCATAAATGTAAACAAAAATTACAGTGCAAGAGGATGATCAAGTTCAACAGGTAACACTTTATTACGTATGAACAAGTCTCATTAGTAAACATCAGTATGTTGGCTTTACATTAGATATGAACTCTATTTAATTAAATCCACAATTATGACTTAATGAGTTATGAGGAATTAACTAAAGTGACATCACCAAAGACTATTAAACGAGCAGTTTTCATCGAGATCTGTATAATTATCAAATGTTAACTAACTAAGCTGTATGTACAGTTAACAAAGTGCTGCACTGTAAATATTCAGTATTATGCATATAGTATTCAACATCTCAGTGTGTCAGATCAACATGTAAAGATTACCATTAAATCACCAATTCAATCATCACTTGCTGCTGTTAAGAAGGTTGTTCTGTTCTTCAGATTGTTATATTAGTGGTTGTTCATCTATTTTTAAGTGTCTATATGCACGTTCATGATTAATATATATTGTATTGAGTATTATCAGACTGAAGTGATGTTCTCCCATGGGGCTCACCTTGACCATGGGCACGTACTCCTCTGGCAGCGCGGGCTGAATGCGGCTGGACATCTCGATCACGGCCTTCACCAGCCCCGTCACATTCTCATACACTTTATCATTCGAGCGGTCCAGATTGGCTGTCGGAGGAGGACTGATCTCCTGAGGCTGAAGCTGAACACACACACACAGAGTGCAGCACTTCATTATGACAGCAGATGGCAGCACAGCTTTACTCCAGAAACAACACACACACGCACGCACTCAAACACACACACAGTTTTCCAGATAGTGAAGGTTGCTGGATTAGTTTTTGTACTTGGTCAGATTTGTATTATTCAATTAAAAAGATGATACAGGAGTAAAAACTTAACATTAGCATTTAAAAAAGACCAATAATGAAACAACTCAAGCATTAAAAAGCTGATGTCATATATTTAATATGTTAATATGCACATTTATAGAAAATCTGTGCTCATTCTAATGACTTTCCCAGACGTGCAAATCATGAATATAAAATGTCACATTTGATGAGCTTTTCTATTTGCTTTCCTGTGAAATTGTAATTCGTTTTGAGATCAGACTTTCTCCAGAAGACTAAATATAAAGGGAAATTCAGTGGAAATGGCTCTGCTCAACAGCGTTTGGGAAATATTTGAAGAATTAAAATTTCATAATAATTTTGCCTTCAGCTGTAGATCTAACATGCACTGCTGCTGTTGTTGTTGTTTGACGAATTTTGTTTAGCTCTTTTTAAAAATGACTTCTTTGTTTTATTGAACATTTAAGGATGCATTTATCAGGGTTTCTGCAGGGTCTTAATATCTTACATCTCAAAATCCAAATTTTTAGGCCTTAAAAAGTCTTAAATTTACTGAAATGTTGTGTTGTAGGTCTTACGCCTTTTTTTAAGCAGGTCAAAATGTTCCTTTGTTCATGTATTGCTGCCAAATCTGGTCAAAACCCATACAATCACCAACAATCATCTCAGTGAAACTTTTATCTTTTTATTAAATTTTAGGTCATTTTTAACTATATTTATCATGATGCTTTAATTATTTTCCTTACAGTAACATTTGTTTAAAAGTTCTCCGTGTATTTACTGCTGAGGACACCGGCCTGGACAGATTGTTGTGCACAGATTGAGTTTATTTTAGTTTTTAACATTTGTTCATTTTTAAAAAATATTTAAAAGAAAGTTTATGTTGGGAAAAAAGTGTATGGATACAAGAAAAGCTTGCTTGATTTTATACAATATCTAAAATATTTTACTAAGAAATATCTAAAATATTTTACTTTTTATTATTAATGTATTATTGTATTGTTAAATGTATTAAATTATATATATATATATATATATATATATATATATATATATATATATATATATATATATATATATATATATATATATAATTTTATTATTATTATTTTTTGGCATTTTTTTTATAGGTCTTTTCCACCTGGCCCATTTGAAAAACAAACCTTAGCATTTAGCCCTTCATAAGTCTAAAATTTCATTCATAATGGTCTTAAAAATGTTTAAAGTAGTCTTAAATTTAGTTTGTTAAACCTGCAGAAACCCTGATTTATATGTGGCTCCACAAAAAGACACTTAACCATTAATACCTGTTTATAATGATTAAAGTGAATACTTTGGTGAATTTAGGCCTTTTTAAGATCAATTATTTTCTTCTTAATCAATTTATCCTCCATTCAAACCATCTTTACACAAAAAATAAAGTAAATAAAGAAAGAAATTCGGAATTTTATCTGACTCCAGACTTCATTCATCATATTAAGCATCTAAATATTACTATAACAACATGCTGTGCTATATTCTTGGCAATATTATATAGTAAATATTAGAGTATTAATTATCAGTGTAAATAAAAAATACCAGCAATTGACTAAACAGATCAGTTACCAGTGTTCATACAGTGAATAACACACAGACACACACAAACACACACACACACAAGCATGCAAATGTATACATACACACACATAAACACACACACACACACGGGGGTCTTACCCTCCAGGGCTACGTGCAACAGTGCAGCATAAAGCAGGAGAGCGTGCAGAGGAAAGAGCGGGATGCAGAAACACAACACAACATTATTAATGCAAACAAAACAACTCATAAACACATGCACAGAGAGGAGACAAGTGTGTGTGCGCGAGTGTGTGTGTGTGTGTGTGTGTGTGTGTGATCTTTCAGCTCAAACAAAGTCCACATCCAAGAGAAACACACACAGAGCAGAGCTCCCGCTTCATGACTTCAGCCTCCTGACAGATCAGACTTGATCTAATACTCTGGAATCTTCAAAGCTTCAGGATTTGCACAAGAATTCAGCAGAAGAGCAACAACTCCAGGAGGAAAAGAGAGAAATATGAGCTCTTACATAAGAGATAGGGAAAAACAGTGGAATGATGGAGAGCTTATTTTAATATCACTCACTCCTATAGTTCTGGGGCGACACGGTGGCTCAGTGGTTAGCATTGTGACCTTACAGTAAGAAGGTCGCTGGTTCAAGTCCCAGCTGGGCCAGTTGTTATCTCTGTGTTTGCATGTTCTCCCCGTGTTGGCATGGGTTTCCTCCGGGTGCTCCGGTTTCCCCCACAGTCCAAACACATGTGCTATAGGGGAATTGATGAACTAAATTGGCCGTAGTAAATGAGTGTGTATGGATGTTTCCCAGTACTGGGTTGCAGCTGGAAGTGCATCCGCTGGAATAGTTGGCGATTCCTTCTGCTGTGGTGACCCCTAATGACTAAAGGGACTAAGCCGAATGAATGAATGAATAAATCTATAGTGTGTGTGTGTGTGTGTGTGTGTGTTTGTGTGTGTGTGTGTGTGTTTGTCTGTGTGTGTAGTACTGTGACTCCTGACTAACAGCTCCTATAGGAAACTAAAGCTCATTACATGCTAAATAAACCTGAAATAAAGGATCAAATATTAATTAAAGCACATCTTTTCAAGTTAGATTTAATAATTTATATATATATATATATATATATATATATATATATATATCTCTCTCTCTCTAATATATATATATATATATATATTAATATATATTTTTTGTAGTCAGTGATTAATTTGTAAATTGCGAGATCCCGGAACAGATTGGGGTAACAAATCCGGCATGTTACTTGAGGAGGAAGAGGTAACGAAACATTTGTACCACCAAATTGCTGGGTCAATCTAAGTGAACTACAGCTTGCATTAGTAGCTTTTATAGTGTGCATGTCAGTACCAGCGCAAGTGCAACTGGTGCTCTAGGCAAATGACCTCACGGTGTTCATGCCGCCCTTTCACAAACGAAAGTGAAGATCGGGTGGACCCAGGAGGTGTGAAGGAAAGTGAAAGGAGAAGGACGGGGATCGGTAAACTGAGGTGCCTAAATTAAGCCCTGATTTAAGTACAAGTTAAGCTAAATGGAAATGAGAAATGTTACTTTAATTAAATTAAATGTGTTATATAAAACTTTATTAATATTTAATCAAACTTTTATTTCATTTTAAAAGTCTTTTTTTTAAATCAGTGAACTATAATAAAACTGAATGAAAAAAAGTCTAAAAATAATCTGGGAATATTTGCTATCTGCCTCTATCACGTGCTGTGTGAACAGATGAATCACAGGCTGTGTGTGAACCAGTGATCGCTCTTCACTCTCCATATTCAGAGAAAATCTTGAGTGTGTGTTCTGAGAAAGGACTGGAGTGTTTTCCTCTCTCTTTAATCCAGCTGAATATTCAAGGGCTTCTCATGAGAATCAGCTGAAGGTTAAGAAAACAGGAAAACCAAAAACACTGAGCCAGGCGAAGCTCAGCTCTTATGTAAGAGCAACGGGGGAAAATAAACATGCTTTCTCCAAAAATCTTGCCAGAGTCGAGTGTGTGTGTGTGTGTGTGTGTGTGTGTGTGTGTGTGTGTGTGTATGTGTATGTGTGTGTGTGTGTGGAGAACTGAGACCACCAACTAATAATTCCTATAGGAAACTAAAGCTACAAACAGCTTCATTACATATTCATTATATGCTAAATAAACCTGAAATTTAGAAAACTATTAAACCTCATCAAAAAATGAGAGATGTTTGGTGTTCCCATTAACAGCTCAAAATATCTTACAGATTATTTATTATGTCATGTTGAAAATGCTAATTTTGGGGTACAAGTAAAAAAAAAAATAAAAAAAAAGCTGTGTGTGTCTTTTTAAATGCAAATGAGCTTATATTCCCCACCCCCTTTCAGAACAGGGCGGAGTTTTGACATCTTTGTTATGATGTTCACATTGCACAGATGAACACAAGACTTCACAATCTAGCCCATGTGAAACTCCACCCACTTATAAATAAATTCCCTTCTGACCATATATGGTAATTAATGAACAGTCCAGTAAATAGATTACATTATGCAAGAAGCTGTTTTCATGCGTGTCTTTTTAAATGCAAATGAGCTCCATAACTGGGAGGAGTTTTGACATCTCTGCTATACAGAATTAGATATGAGGAAACAAACATGACTGAGGATTTACATTTATTTTGTTACTTCTCAGTTTTTCTTAGCAGCAATGGGTGTGGCTCTTTAACAGTAATGGGCGGAGCCTATAAATTGTGTCCACAATTTACCATTTTGAGTCCTCCCCGGGGAGGGTTCTAGGCTAATTCATTCATTCATTTTCTTTTGGCTTACTCCCTTTATAAATAAGAGGTTTCCACAGGGGAATGAGCCGCCAACTTATCCAACATATGTTTTACACAGCGGATTCCCTTCCAACTGCAACCCAGTACTGGGAAACACCCACACACTCACATTCACAAACATACACTAAGGCTAATTTAGTTTATTCAGTTCGGTCCAGGATAATACATTATATAATGCGTCCATCAACAGTTATGGGCGGGGCTTTGTGAACTGTGATGTCATAACATACAGATTCTGCAGACGACCTGTTTTGAGACACTGATTATGATTTATAGAGATTAAAATGATAAAAGTGCATAGATTTTTATTATTATAGTGTGGATCTGTACACACTGCCAACACATGTTTATGTCCAAACAATATAGAAAAGTTAATTTAGTATAATAGGAGCCCTTAAATTATTCACTTACAACTAATTAGCAGAATTTTTCATTTAGCTTATTTAATAAAGTGTTTTGAACAAATAAAAGGAGGAAAATTGGAAAAAAGGTTTATATATGATCTGAAAGCTGAATAAATAAGTTTTTGTTGATGTTTGTTTTTTATGATAGTTGTATATTGGCTAACTACTGATAAAATCGCCTTTAAAATGGATTAAAATAGCATATCACAATCCAAAAACTAGATATTGCTAGGTGGAAATTCACAAAATGTCTTTCTAGTTCTGGATAATAATCAAATAATTGTTGATTAATTAATAATCTATAATTTTGACAATGTATTTAATGGCTATTACCTGTGCAACTAAACACTTTAATGTGCAAAAAATCAAAGTTCTGTCACTTTAATGCCTAAATAAATCTTTTCAACATTTAAATGAAACTCCTTTCTCTTCCTCTGCTGTACGAGAATGTCTTCCAGCTCAACATGGACGTGGATTTTCCCACAAGCGCGGCTCCTCGGAGTGTTTTCTCTCTGAGGTTTGGCTGAACGTTGAGTGTTTTCTGCTGACGGAGATCAACTGTGTGTGAACTCTACATGTGGGTGTTTGAGCGGGAAACTGGAGGATGTTTGGTGGATGAGAGCAGCATGCAGAACACATCAGCCAATCAGCATGCGGCTCTTCAGAACTCGTTATCATCATGCGGGATGGGTGTTAGTTCGTTATGGGTGTGTGTGTGGGTGTTTGGTACCTTGACGCCCTCATTATAGCTGTCGGCCGGGCTCAGGTTAGTCAGGTGAGCTGGAGCTCCGGGACGAGGAGGTTTCTTTGGAGGAGCCACAAGATCTGCAGGACATGAAGAAGATCAGTGTTATAACTGATACTATACTTTATAACTTATATCAATATCAATATCTTATATCAAATGTTATTATTATTATTATGTATTTTCTGTGTGTACATTTGAACATTGCATTTTTTAAAGCCTGGAAAATGTCTAAAGTGAAACAAATGTTACTTATATTATATATATATATATATATATATATATATATATATATATATATATATATATATATATATATATATATTGTATAATGATGGTTTGTCCTGTAGGTTATCGAAAAAAAAACTAGCTGAAAGGGGCTAATCATTTTGTCCCAAAAATGGTTTTAAAAAAAATTAATAACTGCTTTTATTCTAGCCAAAATAAAACTAATAAGACTTTTTCCAGAAGAAAAAATATTATCAGACATACTGTGAAAATTTAATTGCTCTGTTAAACATCATTTGGGAAATATTTAAAAAAGAAAATAAAAATCAAAAGGGGGCGAATAATTCTGACTTCAATTGTGTGTGTGTGTGTATGTGTTTGTGTGTATATATATATATTATTTCTAAGTTTTTTATAAGCACAAAACAGAACAAAAATATTTATACAATCTAGAATATTTTTCATACAAATGATAACAAAAATACAGAATAAAATGTAAATAAGTAAATAAATAAAAAAAAACATAAAATATTAATAATAATTAAAAACACAGAAAAACCACTAGTGCATCCAAACATGCATCATATTGAGTAAATAATATACACCAAGTTTTACTCGATCAAACTCAAAACATTGAAAATGAAGTTGAAATTAATTATAATTGTGTTTTAGTAAGAATTATTTATTATAGAATTATTATTAAATTTTAAAGCATTTAAAGAATGTTTGGTGCATTTTTTCAAGCAAAAGCAGAATGATTCTTTAGCACAGTAATAAGTTACTGAACACAAATTAAATATTGAAGCATATTGCTCCCTGTATTCTGTAAGCAACGCATTTATATTAAAACATTTACATTTAAAACAAAACCAATATGGACATTTAAAAAACAGCTACATTTTTATCTGTATTTATACATCAGATATTTAAAGTGCCCTATGAGGGAAATCTGAATATTCCGAGGCATATTAGAATAATAAAAGATCAGTATATGGAAATGCACATACTATGAGTCTCAGACATTACTGTTTCCTCATTTACATGTAAAAAAATCCCGGTGGACAACGGGCCAATCAGAAGACAAAACAAACTGTGACGAGACTCACGAGCCATGCCCTTAACATTTGCATGTAATCATTAATATTCACCACACAAGCCATATATGGTCAATTATGGACCTTCTGATTCCAATGCAGCATATGGCAACTTTAAAGTGTGGATATTGAAAAAAGAATTACTATTTAAGATTTTAAATACTGCAACATCACAAAACATATCACATGAATTATTAATGTTATAAATAAAAAGTTGACAAACTATATTACAAGATGCACACCTTTCTAGTAATAACAGTCTTGAATCAGTCATAATTACAGGTTCAGATGAACAAAACAAAGTACTTTATTTAATTTAATAGTGTATTTGTTATATTATTGGACCTTTTATTAGGTTAATAACAGTAAAAACTATTAAAGATTTCATTAATATTCATGACTTTTCTAAAAATCACCATTTTCAGGGTTTTATTTCCAAGTAATTAATTAATTAAGTGTTAAAGGTTGTGGTTTTGACAGTAATTTCTGTCTTATTTATAAATTATTAATAATTCTGTCTTATGTTGTATTATTAAACCTGCTGTAAATGATTGCAAAAAATCAATAAATAAATAAAAACTGTCACATCAGTCCACAAGCTAATTATTAGAAGTTTTACTAATTTTCCCACATGAGCTGTATATTTCTAGTGTTATAAATGTGAGATTGCTCATACCGGTTTTGCCCACGGGCTGGTAAACGTGCTGCTTTCCCATCTGAAAGAAAACACAATCACAAACAACAAGTGTTAAATAAGCTCCCGCTGGTTTTCATGCAGACCGACTTCCTGCTGCCCACCAGGGCCCTGTGGAATTGTGGGTAGTTTGTGGGAGAGCCAGGCATATTTCAAGCACAAATCTAAAAAAGATTCACCCATTGAGTCTAGTGTGTGTGTGTGTGTGTGTGTGTGTGTGTGTGTAATTACAGCTGTAGATCAGACTGTCTGTAGTGATGAAGCTTGTTTTTCACTCATTAGATCAGTCAGAGATCAGGATGGCACTTCTGACTCACAAAACACCCAGAACGCCCCTGTAATTTACCCTTGCTCCGCTATGTCTACTCTCAGACTCTCAGGCTACATTGACACCAGCTTAATTCAATTCATCTTTATTTCTATAGCACTTATACAATGGAGATTGTGTCAAAGCAGCTTAAAATAGAAGATTAAATGGCTTTAACCAGTATGTACTTGCGTCAAAAAAACGAATACAATGTACTTACTGTATTCATAATGTACTGCAGAACACTGGTGGGGTTGTTAAGGTAGTAAATGGGAAGGTTTGAGCGGTATGGGCAGGATTAGGTTGCAAGGGATGGCCAACAGTGTAATTAAAGATGTAGTAATAGAAATGAATTACAAATGCAATTACATGAATGTATTTAATGAATCATAAATACAAATGTACCACCATATACACAGTGTAAGCGAATACAATATAAATTGGGACCAAACTTTAGGTAAAGAGTTGTAAATGTGCTCTTCTGAGTGTTGAAGGTTGTGGTTTTGCCTGTGAGACTGACAGGAAGTGAGAAACAGCTCATGTGAATTTCCCTGAGTGCAGAAATAAACACACAGACACATGCAGGGCATGCTGGGAACTCACCGGGGTCTGCAGAGCGGCGTCCTCACGGTCGATGCTGCTGCGAGAGTTCCTGGACTCCGGCTTCTGGACAAACACAAGCCAGAGCTCACATAAACAGAGCAGCATTTAGGAAAACACTCAGCCATAGATGTATGAGAGAAACCTTCAGCTGATTACATCATCATCATCATCATCATCATCATCATTCCTCAAGCATAAACAATCTCTCATCACACAAATGATGAATTTCCAGTACGTTTCTACTCAAATGTGTGATTGATTACTAGATTAAAACGATAATACCAATAAATAATAATAATAACGATAATAATTATAATAAAATAATAATAACAATAATAATAATAATCATAATTATTATTATAAACAACAACAACAATAATAATATTATAATAATAACAACAAACAACAACAACAACAATAAAAATAATAATAGTAAATAATAATAATAATAATAATAAACAATAATAATAACAACAACACTAAAATAATAATAATACTAATAATAATGAAATAATAATAAAAATACTTAAAACTGCAACAATAATAATAAACAATAATAATATTAAAATAATAATAATAATAATAAAATAAAAATAATAATCACAACAACAATAATAAACAATAATAATATTAAAATAATAATAATAATACAAAATAATAATAATATTAATAATAATAATGAAATAAAAAAATAACAACAACAATAATAATAAACAATAATAATATTAAAATAATAATAATAACAATAATAATGAAATAAAAAAATAATAACAACAACAACAACAATAATTAACAATAATGATATTAAAATAATAATAATAATAATAATAAATAACAATAATAAAAAATAAACAAAAATATAATAATTAACAATAAAAATAAAATGTTAACTTTTTTCATAGTATTCTTTTTCAATTGTGCATAGAAATTAATCTAAGGAGTCAATTGTCACTAAACACAAGTTAATAATATACTCTAGTGATAAAATAATTATTATAAATATAATGTAAGCAGCATTTGTTTCTCTTTAGAAAATTTTCAGACTTTAAAAAGAGCAAAGTAAAAAAAGTTGCACACAGAAAATACATACTAATAACAAAAACAACAATTACACATATCACATACAATACATACATATAATTACACATACACCATTTTATTAATTACTTTAATGTTTAATGTTTTTAATGCTATATTATTATTATGCTTGCTGTAATGCTCTATTATTTTGCACGACTTTTCTGAAACTCTAAAAATTAAATCGTCAATGTTTTCAACAGGTTTTTTAATTGAGTATCGTTTAATTTGTTTGTTTGTTTTTCATTTTAAAAATGTCCATAACTTTTAAACACCTCATTTATATACATACATATTTATGGAAAATAATAACAATAAATAAAAAGTAAATTTCTGTATTGACAGAAGAAAAACATTCGACAAATTTTTCCATAAATAAAAAAAATTAAATCCACTTCTGTATTGACAGATCTCTCATGACCACAAAAAGCAGCAACAAAAACACAGAGAAAGTCAACATCTCAGCAGTTACTGCTCCAGAAGGCATCAAAAACAGCTCAACAACAGAAAACTACATGAAGAACATCTCGAAACAAACCCATCGCTCTCTAAATAAGCTCAGTTACCGTCTTTCCAAAGCAGAACTTGAAGAGATGCATCCTGCATTTAGAGCGTCCCAGGATAGAGCGCTTGGTGTGTGTGTCCATGAGTGTGTGTGAGTGTGTGTGCTCTCTCCGTCTGCTGCTGTCAGACTGATAAACTCGCTTTTCTTCCCTCTGACTCCTTCACATGACTCTCTCTCTCTCTCTCTCTCTCTCTCTCTCTCACACACACACACTCATTCACTTTCTCCCTCTTGCTTTCTCTCTCTCTTTCTCTTTATCTCTCTCTTTCTCTCTCTCTCTCAGAAATGAGAGGTGGAGTTTCAGTCTGTCCTAATTTGCCTTTTAGAGCTTAAATAATGGCAAAAATCAGAGCCAAGTTTGCTTTTTATCATCTGACATACAACTTAATGGATTTTAAAGGGGAATTATTGTGCAAAAATCACATTAATAAGGTGTTTAAACAGTTTTTAATAGTACAAATGTATTCATTTATTTTTATGCAAGGCAAGTTTACTTTCATAGACATGTTTATTTCCTAGTAATTCAAAGTGTTTATAATCAGACTTGATAAAGCCGTCTGCAGACACACTTTGATTGACATTCTCCCTTTGTACGTGTCATCAGAGGGGGAAAGCCCCGCCCACTAGTGACCATCTCTCCCTCATTAGCATAAACAGCCCTGAGTGAGAAGCAGCTGTTAGAAATGTGCGGACAACATTTGGCGGAAAATTGTAAAAGAATTAGAAGTGACCATGAGGGTTAATAACTCTGACTTCAACTGTACAATGAGAAACAAAACTATCAGAAATTCAATAAATACATACACAAACAGAAAAGAAGTGTAATATGATTAATAAAAGATGATGAAAAATAACATACACACCTGTTGATTCATTCAGAGGGTTTGTAATAATGTTTCTGATTAGTTTGATCTCCCTCTCTCCCTCAAAATAATGTATTTTGTAAAGTATAATGTGCTAAAAACGTTGCAAAAATTCTAAATTCTTACTGCCTTTCTCAACCCATGTACACACACACACACAGGCACGCGCACACACACACACACACACACACACACACACACACACACACACACACACACAGGAGAGCCTGACCTGAGCTGTGTCTTGAGCTCTGTGAATCGGGGCCGTTTGCTGGGGTCGTACGCCCAGCATTTGGTCATGAGGCTGTAGAGTGTGGGTGGGCAGTTTTGGGGCATCGCCAGTCTCTCTCCATTCTCGATACGGCCGATCACGTCGTTATTCTTCACTCCCTGAAAAGGCTTGATGCCGAACATGAGGATCTCCCACATACACACACCTGACAGGAGAAACACACACACACACGCACACATCTCACATCACATATAAACTTACTGTATGATAGTTATATATGCAAATAAAAGATTTATGTGATTAATAATAAATGATACACTTATTGAATAATTAATCATTGATTTAATAAATTACATTAAAATACATTATTAATGTATTTAACAATAACTTCTATTAGAGTCAAGTCTGTCCAAATAATTATTTTTAAAATAAATAAAAATAAAAATTGACTGATACAACACACTGTGAAATATTAAATACTAGTAATTAATTAAATACTAGTATTAAATATAGTAAAACATTTCCATTATTTCCATCTCCAATAACAGAAATGATCTGAGATGAAACTTGAGATGAGAAGTGTCCAGGATTATAAACAAAAAAAACTAATATTTTGTATTTTATTCTTCAATCTTCCAAACATTCATAACAAATTATTATCAATAATTTCAGCCTCAAAATTTATTATTACAAAAATATCATAAATGTGTGTGTGTGTGTGTGTGTGTACAGTTGAAGTGAGAATTATTCGCCCCCTTTGATTATTTATTTGTTTTTTTTTATATTTCCCAAATGATGTTGAACAGATTCAGGAAATGTTCACAGTATGTCTGATAATATTTTTTCTTCTGGAGAAAGTCTTATTTGTTTTATTTCAGCTAGAATAAAAGCAGTTTTTAATTTTTTAAACACCATTTTAAGGTCAATATTATTAGCCCCTTTAAGCCATATTTTTTTCTAGATAGTCTCCAGAACAAACCATCATTATACAATAACTTGACTAATTACACTAACCTGCCTAGTTACCCTAATTACCCTAGTTAAGCCTTTAAATGTCACTTTAAGCTGTATAGAAGTGTCTTGAAGAATATCTAGTCTAATATTATTTACTGTCATCATGGCCAAAATGAAATAAATCAGTTATTAGAGATGAATTATTACAACTAAAACAAAGGCACAAATGAAACCATGTTTTATGGCATGTGTTAAAGGTGTTTAAATATTTTTTTTTTAAAACGAGTCGCTTAAAACAAAAGAAAACTCACCAAACATCCAGACGTCGCTGGCGGAGGTAAATCGGCGGAAGTTTATGGATTCAGGAGCCATCCATTTAATGGGCAGCTTCCCTTTAGAAGCTGGAAAACACATAAAGCTCATGACTGACACTTAAAGTTAATCCATTATGATCATAAACTTCACAAGCTATGATTGAGCTAATAGACATACAATCAGGCTAATTGGCTGATCGGGAGAATTC